GATTGAAATATAAATTTAAGGGCATCCCCAGAATGTCCCGTACCATCCATTGTCGCTCAGATCAATGACTCTCATACATCATCCCGTCTAAGAAATGGAACGTGCAAAGTTGCTTGGTGGCTAGTTTGGTATTAAGCCATGGATCTTCAATGTCCTGATGGAGAATGTGTCAAACTTGAGCACTAGGTATTTCAGGGCTCCTAGGAGCCTCTTGGTGGCCATGATCTTGGTAGATAGCAGTCACTCTCGCAATCATCACTCAAAGACAGATTAGATTCTTCACCAGACCGAACAGACTTGGCTAAAAGCTCCCGTCTACGATGGCAACCGGGTTGGGGAAGCCATACGAAAGTATCGACGACAAGAACGCTCCTGTGTGTTGTGCTCTATCTCCAGACCCGCATCCTTCCCTTCCCCATACACACACGTATTATCAATCTCATTGAAACCTCCTCCATCTTTGGCCGACGGCTGGGCACGGATACCGTAGGTTCTCCCTAAAAGTACCTAATCAAAAAGCAAAACAGAGAAAAACGAAGAAGGTAAAAAGAAAAAAAGAAGAACAAAAAGTTGCCATAACAAAACATGAGTGAGGATCCCTCCCTTAAAGGACTCGAGCCGTTGTCTTGACCCTGCTTGGATGCGGTAGTCACCCAGGTATGCACGAGACGCGAAATACTTACGCAGGGATGAAGTTCTATTACACCAAACGAGCCGAGCCGTCTACCATATGATGGGATTTTCCTTCTCCTCGATCAAGTATGGCAAGCCAATTATTTCCTTCCTACTTACCTCCTCTCTACTGGCTTATGATCACAAGCATTAAGGTAGGTAGGTTTGTCTTCTGCGTCAGAGGAACTGAACTGAACTGAACCAACGTGCCCGGCTGACGGCAAGGTCTGCAATACTCCTTCCTTCCTTCCTTCCTGCCTGTTCACACTCAAGACACACGGCGCAGATCCATGGGATGATCACTGAGTGTCGCGACTGCCTTGATACGTGGACGACGGGACGGGAATATTGTTCGCTACTTAGTTTCTGCCCGTCGCTACCGTACTCACTGGGTCTCCCGTCGCTCCTGCCTACAACCACGGTAAGTAACCCGCCGCGTCATCCCAACTCCCGTCACCGGGCAGGCACTAAGCAACACGGCAGCGGGCACCTGTGGACCTGCAGTGCCCGAAGGGAACCCGAAGCGGAATTTATAAGCCCCCTTATCCGACCTCTCTACCACAACGCAAGGGCCCAAATACTTTGTGTGTCTATATGGCGCAGCGGTTCCGTGTACCGCCTACCCGCCCGCGTTGATGAAAACATTGCCGGGTGCGTTGGTATCCCGAGGTACAGTTTCGTAAGATCGCAGCTGGTCTCGAGTTCGACTCGGATCTGGGCGGGCTAGCTTCTTTCTTTTTGGTTCCTTTTTGCGAGTGTTCGGCCTTCCCCAGGCAATGAAAGGCTGGATCCAGGGGTGACGTGCACGAAGAGATGCGACGAAAAAGAGGATACTAACAGAAATGGATTTTAAATGTTAGGCCTAACAATTCTTTTGCGGACGAAAAGTGCACTTTCGGGCCGTGCGTTATCAGTTAGATAGTGCGTGCGGAGTTTTGTATGGGGTCCGCCCGCGAAAGACCCTAACACACTAACCGCACTTTTTAGCGTGAACCTTGCTGTAGGGAGAGAGATTGCACCGCGACGCTGATTGGAACTATTCTGGGAATGCTCATTGGTTTATTTCTCTATTTTCTCTCTCTCTATCTCAAATCTTTCAGAAATTCCTTTTTCTTTTCTTTTTTTCTTCTTTTTTTGATGGCGTCGGGGCAGAAGCAGGTAGGTGGTGAAGTTTCTTGTAACTGCAACGAAGCGCAAGCAAGGACACGGCGGCATCATGGAGAGTACAGATACACACACATTCACGCCCCAATCAGATAAAGTGACAAGGGCAGACAAGATATTTGCCAGACCGAAATTTGGGTATTACTTTGTGTACATGGAGCTGTCTATATCAACATTTCATTTCACAAGCCGCAGTATCTATCCCTTTGGCTCAATTACACACGTTTTCCGTTCTTCTAACAGATCAGTCCTCATCCCAGTTGGGGTTGGGACCGGGGGGCTTGGGACCACCGGCCTGTCTGGCGACGATAATCTGATCAACAGAAAGAACCGTCCTGGCAGCCTCGGTGGCGAGCTTGATAGCCCACTGCTTGGTTACGAGGAGATCGAGAATACCCTCCTTCACGGCATCAATGGTACCGGAGTTGTCGTTGTTCTACAAACTTGTTAGCCGCTGCATAAGATGTGAGAGTTCAAACGGATTCAACATGCCTCGATATCCACACCCGTCGACCAGGTGTCCTTCTTCTGATGGGAGGCATAGAGCCTGCTGAGCACCTCGGTGGCATCCAGGCCAGCGCTCTCCGCCAGTATCCTAGGAACGACCTCGAACGCCTCACCGTACTTCTTGATGGAGTACTGCGCAAGACCCGGGGTCTTCTCGCCAATAGCCTGTATCCTTTCGACGAGCTGGACCTCAGTGGCGCCGGCGCCAGGGACCAAGCGAGCATCCTTTGTGATAGCCTTGACGACGTTAACACCGTCATCGACGGCACGTTCAACATCGTCGAGGTGGTTCTGAGTAGCGCCCCGAAGGACGATGGTTGCTGTCCTTGTGACCTCATCCTCCTGTCTGAACACGGTAACACGGTCACCACCAATCTCCATAGTCTCCACAACGTCAATGCTACCCATCTCGTCGGGCATGGGCGCACCGAGACGGGCCAGGGGAGTGGCACCGACGACTCTGCATACACGCCTGAGCTCGAACTTGGAAAGAATCTTGATGACCAGAATGCCGTATCTGTTAAGGTAGTGCATCGCCAGCTCACCGACTGTGGAACCGGCAACGACGACTCTGAGACCGGAGTTGTAGAGCTCCTTGACGATTGTCTCGAGCTGGTTCTCCTCCCCCTTTGTGAAGTCGAGCATCTCCTGGGCGTTGTGTAGAAGGACGGTGCCCTTGGTCTCGGTCTGGCTGGTATCGATGGGGCAGGTGTAGACACCAACCTTGGCCTTGGTAACCTTCTTGACAGTGCCGTTGGGCTCCTTGGGGAAGACCATGCCCTTGACGACACGGCTCTGGTTCAGGCTGCCACCCATGATCTTGACGACGCGGACGTTGTCGACGTTGAAGTTGGCGGGGTTCTTGGGGAGGACGGCAAGGATAGCCTCGGCGACCACGTCGGCAAGGAAGTCCTCGTTGCCGTTCTGCTTGCTGGCAATAACGGTGCGGATGGCCTTGCTCAAACCGGCCTGCGACCGCAAGTCCTCCACCTTGTCGACAACAAGCTCCTCCAGGGTATCCAGGGCAATCTTCTGGGCGCGCTCGTAACCAGTGACAATGTCGGAAGTCTTGAGACCCATGCGCAGCAGGTCCTCGGCCTTCTTCAGGAGCTCACCGGCCAGGACGATGACAAGGTTGGTAGCATCACCCATCTCGGATTCTTGTTGTTGACTGGCCATGACCAGAAGCTTAGCGGCGGGGTGGACGACATCGAGCTCGCGGAGAATGGTAGCGGCGTCCGAGGTCAGGATCATCTTCTGGAGATGGTTGATGACGATCTTGTTACGGCCAAAGGGACCGAGGGAGGTCTGGACAGTCGACGAGATGGCCCTGCAGGCGTCGATGTTGCGAAGGACGGCGCCATCCTCGGAATCGTAGCTGTTGAGGTGGGAACATGGTTAGAACCATCTGTTGTTGTGTATACCCATGTGTGTGAAGTTCACGGATCATGAACCCCCTTGGGACCGCATAGGCGCAAGCAAGCAGGCAAGCAAAGCCATGGAGGGGAGTTTGGCGGGGTAGGACTGGACATGATGCAACAAGCAGAATCAGGGGAATAAAAGGAGATAAAACCTACTTGTTGTAGCCGCCCTTGAACAGGCCAGCGTTCGGGGCGTTGGGGATATTCAACGACATGGCGGGCTTTGATTCTGGTGTTTCTCCTGAATCTTTGTTGTTTTGTCGGGCTTCTTCTGTCTTGCGGTGTCTTCGCTGGCCATGGTCCAAATGCCAAATGGACCCTCCTCAGGAGCTCCCCCCCAAGCGGTGCGGGGCCCACAAAAAAAGTCGATGAAGCGGATAGAAGCCAGCAGTGTGGCGGGCTAGCGGCAGGCAAACAGCTGGCATAAGCGGATAGGGAGCTCTAGACCTCTCAATCCGCGTTCACCGCAGCAAACCTGTTTCACCAGGGGCCTAAGCGTTTAACACTATCCGCTTATCCCAGAACCTCCCTTGATCTCGCGACCAGGAATCGTCACCTTCTTTTCCACAGGAGCACCTGCACTCAGGACATTCCATCTGGACCGGGAGCAGCTGGAACTCCAGCTTTGGGGGGTCTGGGCAAACTGGAAATAGTGGAAACCTCGCTGTAACTGTACTTGGGTACAGCGGTCCATGGCGTTCTATCGTTTCGTGACTTTCTCAGGTCCCGGCGCCATCCGTCCACGTCCACTTGGCTGCATTGATTGCACTTGCTTGTCAACCTTCATCCATTTTACTTGGGAGACAACCAGCTTCAACCTTTCGATTTCATTGTCACCGCCCGACCGAACAGTTGCATGACTTTTTAAAAGCAGCAGGTGGCCGGCCATTTTCACACTCCCTCCCTTTTATTCCTTCCGCAAACAAACAAGTCGCCTCTGACCGAATTCATCATTCTCGTAACGACTCGCGATCGCAAACGCGAACAACTCCACTATTAATCATTAATTCACCACCACCACCACCACCACGGTACAACTACTCCAACAATGGCGCCAGGTAAGTCCAGGTTAACCCAAACTCCCAACCACGTTCCCACCACATCTCCATATTCTTGCCCTGCCAACCTCCATCCCGTTTTTCCCTTTGAACCATTGCCTTGCAATTCAGGCGCGTTGATTCAGTTGCGAATCCCTTCTCTTCTCTTCTCGTCATGTCTTCCTCCATCATCCTCAAAATGAAGAAAAAGGTTACTGACCCTTCTTCCCATCGCCCCCCATCAGCGAGCTCAGTTCCGCCCATGCTGCCGCCCTCAGTCGAGGAGGCCTACCGCAGGAAGTGCATCCAGCTTAAGCAGCGCACTAACGAGGTTGAGGAGGCCAACGATGCCGCTCGCCTGCGTCTGGCCCGGCTGAAGCGCCAGGTCGAGAAGATGAGGCTGGAGCGGGCGTTCCTTCTTGAGCAGCTGGCCAAGAGGACGAGCACTAACGTGGAGGACTCTGACGGCAGCCCCAGCCCGCCGCCCACAGTACGTGACGCCGTATCATCACCCCCAGGATCACCTCTGAATCCGGGCGGACATACTCGCCATCACCATCAACATCATACATCCCTTCATCAAACACGCACAGGTCGAATCGGTAAGCTGACAGCAGCCGTGCAGCCAAAAGAGAAGCCCTTGCGCATCAAGCGTGGTCATCGCAAGCCCTCTGCCATGCCCAACCTCGACCTGCCTAGTGGTGCCGCGGGCGCTACCTTTATCAACCAGAACCTTCAGACCCAGTCGCCCAGTTCCGACGCCTTCTCGGCAGCCCACCATGCGACCAACGGTCTGCACAAGGGCACCTTCAGGCCCATCAAGCCGAGCAGCGCGTTCGAGCTCTACTGCGACGATAAGCGGGCCGCGTCGAAAGAGAAGGCCGCGGCAAAGGCGCTCAGCAAGGAAGCCGCCGAAGGGTCCGGCAGCCCCGAGGACGAGAACGAGAACGACAACGACAACGAAAACAACGGCGATAACACCGATGTCGAAGAAGAGACATTGTCGCGCGAGTGGAAAGATCTTCCAGAAGACCGCAGGAAAGAGTTCGAAGATCGAGCCGATCGGGACGCGGAGCGATACAAGAAGGAGAAAGACGCCTACGATGAGGCCAAGGCCAAAGCCGAGGAAGAAGAGGCTGCGGCGGAGAAGGCTGCAGCGGCAGCATCAGCAGAGGCATCAGCAGAAGCAGAAGCAGAGGCAACAGACAAGCCCCGTGGCTCGACAAGCGATACCGGCAACAAGACGGATGATGCCGAGGGTGGTGCGACGGCCGAGGAGATGGATCTTGATCGCGTTGCCGACGCCGAGACTACCGACGAGAGGAAAGCCAGCAGCAGTAGCGCCAAGGCCGCCGTCGAGGAGGGAACGGACACGCCGCGGGCGACACAGGAGGATGTCGAGATGGGCAATAACGACACGGACGATCATGAGACAAAAGCTGAGGAGACGCAATAGGGGAAGCGCACTCGGGAACGTCGAACCCCGAAGCGTTACCTGTCATAAAATTCGGAGGGGTCATTTTTGCCCGTGGACTGGGCATGTTTAACAGTTGTTTTTACAATTCATCAATGGCTTGGGGTACAATGTGTCATAGATTTTCCTATTTTTAGTTTCCTTCCGTCACAGCTTCGCTTTGGCTTAGCGATACACGTTTCACGGTTCTTTGGGCAGGGCAGGATAAGTTATGGTTGCGGTCGCGGGAAAATATCAATAGCTTTTCTCACCCGTCATACGTTTTGTACATCTTTCTGTAGTTGCTCAAAGTTGACCAAGGGCAGCTTTATTGCATACCACATGATAGGGAAATTGAATAGGAAGAAGATGCCAATCCTGGAAAACCCTGCACTAACAAGCTCGAGACATTGCTTCCTGCTTATGTACTAACGTCCAGGAAACCCCTTCGGCAAAGGCAAAGGATAAAAAGGATTTCTGGTAGCCTCCCGATTCCCAAGTGGGAAATACATGCGCTCAGTTCTTGCTCCCCCATCATCACCACTATCACGAGGCCTCTCCTCTACCCCCCACCCATGATCATTTCTCCTACCCCTAATACTCAACCCGCCACGACCACCATGTCCACCAGGATCTGCAACCAGTCGACGAACACCGATTACTTCTGGCTCAGGACGCCCACCATAATCGTAATCCTCATCACTCGCCAGCGGACCGGACCATCTCTTTCCCTTGTCAGCAGGAAGATACCGGTATGATCCCGCCGTTTCATACTCCGAGTTCTTTGTGCTACTGATCTGTAGGTTTTGCAGGCGGTTGGAGAGGAGGACTGCGTCTGAATCTGCTTGTCGGTGTTGATGGCCATGGTTACGGCTATGGCTATGGCTGTGTCTGTTGTAGTCTGGGGACTGAGATTGGCATTTTGAGCACGAGTACGAGCGAGAACGGGAACGGGAACGACGAAAATGAGAGGAGGCTCTTCGCGACCTTGAATGGGATTGAGATCGGGATCGGGATTGAGATTCAGATTGAGATTGAGATCTGGACCGCAGGCCGGAGTGTGGCCGTGGCTGTCGTCGTCGTTGACGATTGTGAGACGCCCTTTGAGGTTTGGCATGAGAGTGGTGTCTTCTTCGCGGTTTCGAACGAGTACGAATACGGGAACGGGACCTTGACCGTGAACTGGACCGTGAAGAACCCCGACTGTCGGCTCCAGCATGACGACTCCGGCCGCGAGTGCCCGATTTCTTCAGGCCAAGAGAGTGAGAGCGCGAGTGGTATCGATGACCACCTTGTTGGCCATTCTCGCTGTTAGATTCGGACTCACATGCGGACTCGGACTCGGACTCGGAGTCACTATAGTCGGTCTCGGTATCTGACTCACTCCCTGATTCTCTTGCCCTGGAGAAGATGGTTGTGGGCGATGACGAGTTGAAGCTTCCGCTACCGGAAGAGGAAACAATGCGGACCATGTTGGGATGTTGCTGGTGCTGAGTATTGAGTGGAAGTTGGTTCGAAGAATGATGAGTTGTTATGTGTTGTGTAGACGGGCCGGTTGGCGGTCTTGGTGGCCATCCTGCTGGAAGAGCTGGACAGCTTGGATTCACTGCGTGTGGTGGGTATGGTCCTCCAGGCCCGCCAGGTCCTGAAGGCGGTCCCCAACCTGGGAGTCCCAGGTTGGAGCCATGTTGGGGTACAGGATGGAACTGTTGATGTTGAGGATGAAGAGGCTGTTGTTGGAGGCTGTGAGGTTGGTGAGAGTGTTGCTGCTGATGTTGCTGCTGTGATTGAAGCACCGGGTGATGCAGGTGATGCAGGTGATGCGGTTGATGTGGCAGCAAAGGTGGCCCAAGTCGAGGTTGCTGATGATGTGTGTTGCCACCATGCAACTGAATGATACCTTCGTGACTCCTCCTCCTTGGTTCCTCTGCCAGCCCTCTATACAGCGCAACCGCATCAACACCAGACTTTGGTGACCGTCTATAGTAAGCCACAATGTAGCTGGTCTCTGGTACAGGTACGGTCCTCCCTCGAGTCCCCTCTCCTCTCCTCTCTGCCTTGTCCTTATGCTTATGCTTATGTCGCTCCAGCCGTTTCTTCCCACCCCCCACCTTCCCTTTAACACGGTACCAATGACCATGATGTTTCACGGATTTCTTTCCCTTCCCAGAAGAACGCTCACGGTCATAACGTTGTCCCCTACCCCTACCCCTACCTCTATCTCTCACCTCAACCTCAACCTCCCCCCTTTTCCATTTTATATTCTCCCCCTTTAGACTCAACTCCTCAACGCCGACCAAATCAATCTTATAACTCCCCCCCTCAGAAGGATCTCTCATCTCCCTCTCTCTCATCTTCTTCAACCTCTTTTCCAAACATCGTCTCTGCAACCCATTGAGCTTGTTCAACCTGTCTCTTAATTTGATGCCGTCGTCCCTCCCCAAAGCCTGCATATCTCTCGCGGCTTGGTGATCGCTCAAGACACCAGTGTTACGGGTGGATTCCCACTTTGCGTTGTCTGTTTGATAGAGGCGGTAGATGAGGTAGGTGGTGAGTGCTTCTCTGGCTTCCGACTGTGTCATTCTTCTTGAGATGTTCCCTGGGAGGGAGTTGGGGCTGAAAGAGGAAGAATTCTGATGAGATACTGGATGAGCGATGTGGGGTGGTGATGACGATTGTGGCATCTCAGAGTGTCTCTGTTGTGGTGGTTGCTGAGGATGATGATGATGAGGAGGAGGATGGGGTGTCGAGTTTATGCTCTGTGGTTGGAAGGAGCCCATATGGCCGGAATGAGTGTTTCTGACCACAGGTGAAGGTGAACACTGGTGGCTTGTTAGATGATGTTGAGGGTGTTGATGTTGTTGCTGCTGTTGCTGCTGTTGCTGCTGCTGTCCCTGACTTCTAGCAATCGTCCCTTGAGGGAGAGACACAAAGCCGGGGTCGCCCATGATGATGATGATGAAGATGAAGAATGTTCCTGACGTGGCGATGCTTGCAAAGTTGCAAAGTTGCAAGATGCTGCAGTATCAACAACTGACAAGTATACCTCAATGGATTCAATCACCCGTGCACGACAGCAGTTAATGATTTGATCGGATTTAGCTGGCATTCATGTCCCAACCTTTAAAAAGGGGGAGACTAAGCAGAAGATACCTTATATAACCCCAACACCTTCCACAACCATCATTGTCCCGGTAACGTCACAGTCCCTAAGAACAAGGCTCCGATATCAATCGACCTTCCGCACTTCTATCATTCTATCCTTTAGACCTAGAAGATGGTTGGTAGCACACAAACGACGCCCGTTGCCTTACTCCCAAGCAAGAACTGCAGCCTCAATTCGCAACTTTCAACTCCTCAACTCAAACCACCAGAAGCAGAAGCAGAAAATGAGACAAGCAACTGCGAACTCAAACTAAAGAATAAGGCAACCATTCTCTCAGGCAGGCTGGGCAACTTTGTTCAATGGTGCGGTGCCATTCAGAAGTTGGGCAGTTCAGATCGACACCTCGACACTTCAACACCACCACCACCACCATCATCATCAATACCTCTAACGCTCTAAGGTTATCGTGTCGAGCTTCCCGAGCCCGGACGGCCAGGCAGGCTTGGACAGGACACCACCACTGCATAGGTACCTATCGAGATCGGACAATCCATCCATCCAACGATACCTATCTGTCCAAACATCACGCTTACTATGTACCTACCGCCTTCATTTCCACTTAACTCCCGCCGTCCCGGGCACAAAGCCAAGACAGAGCCTGCAGGTTGCCATGTAAGCCTTCTTTTACTAACCACCAGTCCCCCATCACCACCACCACCATGATCATCAGAAACATGCATAGTAGTAACTACCAATACCATGCGAGGCTCCCAACTCGTTTCGAGTCCATCTTCGTGATAAGGTGATGTGGAGCCTCATTGAAATGATTGAAGAGGCAATCTGGGCGCCCAAGTTTCGGAACAGAAGATCTGAGCCATGCGCCACCACCGCCTACACAGTCGGTCAACCAATGCCAGGACTGAGGATACCGGTGCCCGGCTTATGTACAATATAATGCTGATTGGTTTGTTTGTTAGCTCGGTACTTCTAGTATACTAGACAAGATCTGTCCCAAACCTCTCAAGGACAGTATGTAATGGCCAAGTACGAATTAGAAAGACAACAACAAACTTCAAAATATCATGTCGAGGTGCTATTACGCGTTTATTAACGAACAAAAGGGATCAATTAGATGTATACTACGGCTAGGAAGGTTGACTAGAGGTCTCGAACTAACAAAGCTGCATTAGACTGTACGGAATGTTATCTACGTGGTTAGTTGCCTTAATTCCATGCCAAAGTTTCTGTCAGTATGTAATCAGTGCCTTCGAGATGAAGGAATTCATACCAGAGATCTATTAATGCATTTCACTTCAAGATGTTGGTCGCTACAATCACCAAAAGACGGAGTCGAGAGAAGGTCAATGAAATGAAATGTATTAATTATGATTCTTCTCAACGCCGGAGCATCGAGTTCCGACCATCATTACTTTAAATAAGAAAACAGTAGCGATTAATGATGCATGTTCTGCCCGGGTCACCCGACCATCCGTCTCATCTTTCTTGCCAAGTAATTAAGTCCGTTTACTCGTCATGCTGAGAATCAGATCCTTCCCAGTTATGGCCTTCCTCCTGAGCATCGGCTTGTTCCCAGCCTTCGCCCTCACCATGAGCACCGGCGTGCTCCCAGCTTTCAATGTCCTCCTCAGCGTTGGCATCCTCCCAGCTCTCATTGTCGTCCTGGCCTTTATGCTCCTCGCCATCTTGTCCCTCGTGTGCGAGAGCAGGAGTAGGCGTGGCAGAAGGAAAGGGAGCAGGAACATTTTGGATCTGGCCATCTCCAATCTGAACGACAGGCTTGGGCTCCTCCTTCACTGGGGCGTTCTGAATCTGACCATCACCAATCTGAGTGACGGGAACGGGAACGGGAGCATTCTGGACCTGGCCGTCTCCGATCTGGACAACAGGCTGGGGCTCTTCCTTCACGGGAGCGTTTTGAATCTGGCCATCACCAATCTGAGAAACAACGGGCTCCTTGACAAAGGGATTCTGTACCTGGCCGTCACCGATCTGAACAGTAGGCTTGGGCTCAGGGACGTTTTGAACCTGGCCATCTCCAATCTGGAAAACAGGCTGGGGCTCTTCCTTGACGGGAGCGTTCTGGATCTGGCCATCGTTGATCTGAGTGACAGGGACATTCTGGATTTGACCATCACCAATCTGAGTAATGGGGACTGACTCCTCCTTGGCGGGAGCGTTCTGCACCTGCACGTCTCCGATTTGAGTGACAGGCGTCGAGTCTTCCTCCACAGGGGCGTTTTGAATCTGGCCATCGTTGATTTGAGTGACGGGAACTGGTGCGTTCTGAATCTGACCGTCGTCGATCTGAGTGACGGGAAGGGGAACATTCTGGACTTGGCCGTCACCGATCTGGACAACAGGATTGGGGTCATTTGCAGGAGCATTTTGCACCTGGCCATCACCAATTTGAGAAACGGGCCCCTTGACAAAAGAATTCTGAACCTGACCGTCGCCAATCTGAGTCACAACCTCCTCACCCTCCTTCGCAGGAACATTCTGCACCTGACCATCACCGATCTGGGCGGCAGGCTCTCCAGCACTCTTCTCGACACTATCATCCTCCGGGTTTTGCTGCTCAGTGTTTTGTACCTGGCCGTCGGGGATCTGAGCAGCAACCTCCCCTGCCTGGTCACCTTTGGGCTTCTCCTGTTGAGCCTCCTAAGCCGCAACCTTGGCGACCTTCACAGCCTTGCAAGTGGGATTCTTCGGCGCGCCGCTAGTAACCCACGCGAGAACGTTGTAGTAGTAGCCTCCAACTTGCGCCCAGCATGCCTGCCAGTTCTGGAGGGCGATGGTGCCAGGGTACTCGGGGTACTGGCCCGGAACGTACTTGGAGTCGTCGGTGTAGGTAGGAACAAAAAGCTTGTCCTCGTTGTCAAAGGCAACATTGATGCTCGGGGAAGAACCAGGCTGTGAAGGGTATGTCAGTAAGCGATACTCGCGGTGGAGGAGACATGACTGGGAACAACGTACCGTGAACAGAGTCGTGGCGACATTAGAGCCAGGGTCATAGTTGAAAGACAGAGGAGAAGAGACGGTGATGGGACCATCAGGACCGTTGGCCACAAGGTTCCAGGTCAAGAGGCCGGAGTTGGAAGGAACATTGTCGTAGACGGTGTAGTTGTAGTAGAAGGAGGCTGAAGAGGAACCGGCGGGATTCTCGGTACCGCCAAGGCACAGCGACTCAATGGCGGCACCGGCGTGGCAAGCATAGAGGAACTTGCCGTCGAGGGAGGTGTCGTCAGACTGGAGCTTGAGATAAAAAGGTCCATCTTGAGAGTAGGTCTGGGCCTGGACGGCAGCGGTGGCAGTGAGAGCGGCAATAACGCCGGACAAGGTGAAAGACTTCATGGTGGAGAGTGAGAAGGGGTGGATGGGTAAGAGGAGACTGGAACAGATAGATGCAATGATGATGTTGTGTGTATAACCAAAAACTTGGATAAGTGGTGTCTGCTGATGATGATGCTGCTGAAGAAGAAGAGAGACCAAAGTTGATGGGGGGCAGAGAGGATGAAAGGTTTTATAGCAGTCCAGAGGCCGAATATTTCCAGGGACTTCTTTCCACCCTGACGTTGCAGTCGAAGAGCCAAGGGAAGGAAGGTTGGTTGCATGGGAGGCCAATGCCGATGCCGACGAGGATTACGAGACACGAGAATTCCGGGGAAGGGACACTCCCATGGAAGATAGAAGGTGGCCGGCGGGTTCGGGATGATGGCTCCATTGCTGTGTGGATCGGCATCGTGGCTAGTGTTTTGGTGGGTTGGTGACGAGGGTAAGAGCGAAGCTATCGTGAGCTTGGACGGAACAGGTGAGGTTCAACCCGTGTTAAACGAACCACTGCAACCACGTATTGCTTGGTTGCATTGGCAGTCCCCGCTCGAGTCTCCATCGCGGCTCTTGTGAGCTTGTCTGAGTAAAGACCCCTCGTATAAGCCTTACGGGGGTAAGGAAAGAGCGGCGTTACCGATCCCACCTGGGAAACTACTCTTTCATCGTTCACGGTCGATTACGACAAGCAGTGCAGGAGCCTCAGAGTCCCAGTTAACTGAGCGTAGCCTGTGTAAGCGCCAAGAACCGTGTCGTTGAACTGATGGTTGCACTGGACAGTTGAGATTGTGGCGAGTGGCAGAGTAGGTTCTTCTGTGGAGGTAACGTTCCTGTGCCGTCTCAGTCGATGGCCAACTGCAAGACATAGGTACCTACACCGCGGGCAGGCCGAGGACCTGGCTTGCGGTGAATGATTAAGGTAGGCAGATATGTTTTTGGGCAGTACCAGTGTGAAATGTCCAACACCGTCAAGCTATTTGCTCTCGTATTTCAAGAGGGAGCTCTTGCATCGGCAGTTAGCTGACACTTTGAAAAACACCCGGTTAGGGAGGTCGGTAGTCAGATAGAACTTGCCGAGATATTCCACGTCCCAAAATAAGACTCACGAGTAAATATGTTAGTGCGGGGATTCACGACCCCTTCAGGACAGTTTGGCTCTCGGGCTTTGTGTGCTCTGCTTCGCATATATGATAGTTCTGTGCATCTTTCTCAAAGGATTGGAGCCTCTTCCAATGCTGTGTTGGTTGACGAACCCGAGATACCCTGGGCTTATTCGTGATCTTGAAGACTGATCAAACGCCTCTTCAAAAGAACCAAACCAACAAGATATCGGCATTGGACTGCACTCTGAGATCCCCAAAAGCCTCATTTTGGGCACAAACCAGAATTTCCTCCGGATCGGTGAAGGAAGTCCATGGTTGTCATCGACCGGCTGCAATAGATCTTTCAACCTCTCAACAACTATCAAATGCGTACAGTATGTGCAGTGGTTAATGGAATACGAGACGGTCTCGTGTGCAAGTAAGCGATGTCGACCATCGAGGGTAGCATCGTCGGCATGCGCACCGAAAGCGACTATGATCCACAGTTCTCTTTCCGCCAGCTTGAAAAAGCGCTGTACTTCTTCTACCACCACTTCACTGACAGACTGCCCAGTCTCAACTTTCTGACCCCTGATCCACAGCTTGTCGCGACATGGCAGGGCTCGATCAAACTCCTTGTCATCGACTGCAAAGTCAAACGCCGTGGACATGGTGGCGTAGCGATTGAGAAGATGTACCTACCATCTAGAATAACCTCAAGGTATGCAGGTCTCCTCTTCAGTAAAGTCGCGGGGTTCTGGAAGGATCATGACGCAAAGAGTTGAATGTTAGCTTTGCCGACCTGGCTTTTGAGCCTCATATTCCAACCTTTTCCAGGACTTCCACCGCCATCACGCCCATCACCTCACACCGGACCCTTTCTCCTTAACAAAATACCAAGTATCCATCATCCCACACTCATCACCTCCCGAGTTCTGACAGATGGTCGCGTGCGATTTCCACCCCAGCCCATCAAGCAGCTCAACAAGCCTCGAGTTCATAAGCCGGACCTTATTCCCCTCCACGCCGCGCTGTAAAAACGGGCGATGCTTCAACCGGAACTCAAAGCAATCATTATCCCACTCCCCCTTTTCGAACATGTCCAATGACTGAAACATGTCCCTCATCTTAGCAATGACAGTCCCGATGTAGTCCAAGTCGGCGGCGTCCCTGCAGGTATTATCGTCGACACCACCATCGATTGATTTCTCAACATCATAGATAACTCGTATCCGGCTGTCAGACAGAAAGCCCAGAGCTAACCATTCAACCGGCGGCGGAGGAGGAGGTGCTTCGTTCGAAGGAGAAAGACGACGGAAGATGAGCTCATCCTTTGCGCTAGCATGAATACTCCCGTTGAATGGACAAACGAGCTGCCAGGAGCGACTGTACAAAAAGGCCAGGATGTCGCGGATGGGCCGTCTGGCTTGGACGGCTTCGGTTTTATCGTGCGAGGTGAGGAAGTGGTGGCCTCCGAACGGCCTCCCCTTGAGTACATACTGGTAGGCTTCTTCACCGTACGGGCCACTGGAGGTGATGCCGAACGACCAAGCTGAAGAGATGATGTGCCGAATATCGCTGACGATGTCGTCGGGGAACTGGAGGAGCCGGATGCGGTCTTGGCCGTGTAGGGAGAGGGAGGCGAATATTGTTGTGCTTGGTTCGCTGCTGCTGGGTTGGAGAGGGAGGTCGACGACGACGGCTGTCATTTGTTGAGACATGCGGAGGAGGGAGCGTTGAATCATTGACATGGTGGGTCTTGGTGAGGGTTGAGTGGTGGTGGTTGACCGTTGAAGGGAGGCCGGGCATGAGGCTGGAATACTGATACCGGCAGACCTCCGCGTAGGGGGATTTGCTGGTTTTTATTTACCTGCCACTGTGATCATAGGCTTGAGGCAGCCATGTACAGTGAAGCTAAGCATTGTCGCCAAGCTCGGATATGAAGGCATCGCCAGGCGCTGAGGCTTAAGGGATGCCTCACAGGGCTGGGTTGCATACTTTATGAGACCGCAACTTGACAAAAGATACCGACGGGGAATGAGAGGGAGGAGCTCTGTACCAGACAGTCTACATGAGGAGGGTTGTAGAGGCTAGAGATAAAGTTCTGTATAAGAGTATATGTAACCACCCCTAGCTCTGACTTCTCATGCCATCTTCGCCGTTTCTTCAGATGCCAAACACTCTAAAGCCCAGAATATCACGACGAAACGTGGGTTTGAAGGTTGAAGAGGCGAAAGAGTGTTTGCAGTTGGAAAATAAAGCCCTGTCCCCGCACTCACAGCGCTCAGGTACCATTATCAAAGTTGATTGGCGGCAAATCTGACAGGCTGAAGACAGCTTCACCCCTGTCGCCCAGCTGCCCTGGCGGTCCTTACCCGTTCCTGGCGTCCCAAAACGGCGGGAGTGGAGATGATGATGGAGGTTGGATTTTGGAGAAGGTTGTTGTGAGGGGGCTGGGGATGGTGGTGGCCCAAGCTCGGTTCCCCAGCAACCAACCGTGATGCCCAGAATGCCCGCTGAAAGTGACCCGACTTGGAAAGCGAAGCGGCTGCCTTGTTGGACGGGAGGCCGATGGACGCTTCCCCAGCCTCCGGAATCTTGAACTTTGTGCAGCGCTGCAGGGTCTCTGGTCTTGTCCACAGGAAAGCGCGAATGCAGGTTCCATGACGATTCTAAGGCAGCCTAAAGACCAGCGACGCGGGGGAAAAAGAACGAACTGCCATGTGCATTCCCGCTGTAAGTGCAAGTGCAACTCGTGCAGACGCTGGAAGTCATTTCTCTACCTTGAGTTCTGGAAGCAGGTAGCGACAACACACTTAGCGACTCCCTAGGTATTTGGAAGTAAACAACGGAATCCCTCCACGACTCAGCCCTCCCAGCTCAACTCAGCTCACAGCTCGCAACTACTGCCGGTGCCCTGTCGCCCACTGTGTCCTGCCCCGCCATCGCGCCTGTGTCGACGCCAGCCCCCCCGTTTGTTCCTGGCCCGTCCAGGTTCCAGGTCCCAGGAACTTGGCAATCTTTTTGTCGCCAGGCGCGAACCGCCGCCTCGCAACACACAGCTTTCGCCAATTCTTCATCCAACTTTTGCCAATACCTCTATTGTGCATTTTTTGTATTGTACTTGCAAGAAGACGGAGGATTGAGCAACTTCTTGTGATCTTTCCTCGGCCTGCTCCGAGCTGCAGGGCCGTCTCCAGCAAGTCTTGCCCGCCATGGCGAACAATCTTTCACCGCCGGGGTCGAGTTCGTACTCGTCCAATACCTTAACGGTAGGCGATGGAACTTGGGACTTTGAGAAGAACTCGTTCCTGCTTCCCAATCTCCAGGGTCTCAACTTTGATACTATGCGATACAATGGTATGGCCTTCCATTCCTTTGGTCCATCCACCCACTGCATCAAACATCAAGAATGGAACTAACAATGCTCTCCCCATAACAGGCATGGGCAATCGCTTCTCGACCTTGACCCAATACCACAGTCTCATTCTCGGCCACGGAGTGATAGCCGCCATCACCTTCCTCTTCATCATCCCAATTGCCGTCCTCATTGCCCGCTTCTACTCCCGCAAGCCGGGATACGCCATCCGATATCATGCATACCTTCAGGTCATCACTGTCGGTCTCAGCACCGTCGTCTTCGTTCTCGGTTTCATCGCTGTCGGCCCTCCCCGAAACCTCACAAATCCACACCATGGCATCGGTGTCGCCATCTACGTCATGATTCTGGTTCAAGCTTTTGGTGGCAGTCTCATTCGCAAAATCACCGGCCATTCCTTCCGTCTACACCTTCATCGTTGGATGGGCCGCGCTATCGCCATCCTTGGTATTGCCCAAGTGCCTCTTGGCTTGACACTCTATGGCTCGCCCAAGTACACATTCATCCTCTATGCTGTTTGGATGAGTTTCCTCCTTTTTCTGTACTTCATTCTTGATTACAGAGACAAGGAACGCCGCGAGTACTACGCAGGTGGTGCTCGCTCTGAAGTTACTGGATACACGGATGAGAAGTCGGAGAGCCACCACCACGGAAAGAAGAAGTGGCTCGGTCTCGCAGCCGCTGGTGGCGCATTGGCTATGCTTCGTGGCCGTAAGCGCAACAAAGACGAGGAAAGGGCCCTGGACCGTAGTCCCAGCCCGTATCGTTCCCATGCTCCCCATGATGGCGCAACTGAAGTTTCACATGCACATGGCAGACACGACAGCTATCACGACGACAAGTATACTGACGTATCCTCGCGACGCGACACTGGTGGAGGCGGATGGATGGGTAAGCTGGCTGGGCTTGGCGCTGGTCTCTTGGCCGCCAAGTATCTGAAGAACAAACATGACCGTCGCGATGACGAGTATTCAGCCGTCTCAACAGAAACCCCCAGCCGTGTTCGCCCACCGAGGGGAGGCCCGGCTCCAACCGAAAGCGATTATACCGATTACACCGACTTCACCCGGACGGACAATCGACGAAATTCCAAGCAGAACCCGGTTATTGCTTCCGAAGTGGAGAGCGCTGCAGATGACCGACGCCCTTACCGACCTGGCACACCACCACGATCGCATGCTGGCCGTCGCAATTCGCGATTCGAGAGCACGATTGCCTCAGACTATTCTTCGTATGTTAGCCCTTCTAGGAGAGAAGAGCCCGAGAAGAAGAGGAACAGCGGGGCTGGGAAGGGTCTGCTCGCTGGACTTGGCCTTGGCTGGTTTGCCAAAAAGACGGTGGACAAACGCGCTGGACAGGAGGAGGATCGGATAAGAGACGACGAGGAGAGGCGACGTGAGGAAGAGGAGAGACGGCACGAAGAAGAAGAACGGAGAGCTGGACGTCGGAACTCCAAGTACACAGGTGATGGATATCCCAGTCCGTCCAGACGCGACTCCCAACGTCGCCCAGCTGCCATGCGCCCAGCGGCACCAACGGACATCACGAGCACGACCGGATCCTCGATTTTCTCTGACGAATTCACTTCCATGGAGCCGAGAGGGCATGCCCCTTACGACCCAGCGCCCATGGCCGGCGGAGCTCGACCGCCACCCGCCCCCATTCCGGTTGCAGGAGGTGCCCCGGGCGTTGGTGCGCCACCTACAATCATTCCCATTACTCCTGGACCCTCCGGGAACCCACCTCCCGGAAATGGCCCGATCGCCATGCCTGCCATGCCTCCCGACCCACGCGGCGTTTTCTACCCACTGAGACCCCCAACCGATACAAGCAGCAGCGACCTGACAGATGTCAATGCTGACAGACGACGACGAGAGGCTGAGGCGGCGGCGGCCGCAGCAGCAGCAGCATCCGCCAGTCTTCTGGCCGCCCAACAACAGGAAGACGACCGGCGTCGCAGGCCAGGCGGTCCTTCTGACCAGCCCAGCGTCAAGGTCAAGGTACAGAGTGACAGAGATAGGAACATTACTCTGCGTAGGATGACGGACGAGGATGCGAGAAAGGACGGCGGCAACAACCGGCGCCGCCGAGGCGACTCGGTTAGCAGCAGCCACTCGGAATCAGAGCCGAGCAGCGGCAGGCGGTATCGCCGGTCAGACCGCCGCGAGAGCAGGAGTTCGAGTCAACGTGGCAGAGCCGAGCGGGCCGCCGAGGCGAGGGTAGACCCGACCGCCAACCCTCTTTATCCAGCCCCTCTTAACACGGGCGGTAGCGGTACACCGAGGCAGCAAGCGTCCCACGGTGGAAGCAGCTTGCCGCCGAATTTTGACGATCCGCTGTCTCCGCCCGACCCGGCGTTTGCGAGACAGGGGACTAGGCCGATTAGCGGGAAGGACTCGCCGCCGTTTGCGGGACCGTCCGGGGGCCAGATGCCCAATGCCGCGGGGACTATCTCTAGCTTAGATAGTCCCGCACAGTGGAGTGCGCTGAGCCCGAGCGGTGCGAGCCAGAATCCTAGTGGTGTGAAGAGAGAGGTGTCGAGTGCGGCGGAGAGGAGACAGAGGAGGAGGTTTGAGAGGAGAGAGGGAAGTAGGCAGCGGGCTGCTGCGGAGTCGTCACTTGGTGGTTAGTGAGTGAGTGGCATCATGTGTTGAGCTCGCCTTATCGGGTTGGTTGTTTGGCTGTTTTGGCTTTTCTTTACACACATGGGTTGGGCTTTTTCTATTCCCCCTTTGGCGTGGGTTGTTTTGCTTCTCTCTTCTTTGCTGGCTTGTGTTTTCATCCATGCCGGCATGGCGTCTAGGTTTTCTTTATGGATGGATGGTCATGAGATGATGGATGGATGATGGGTGTCTTGGTGCCAACAGTTGGACCAATTCTCAAAAGGAATGTTGACGAGTCTATGTGGATTATGGACGCAAGATGTCTTGTATATATCTGCTGTCAAGCTAAACGTGAATGTTGAATGGGCTTTTACTACTACCCATACCCAGGGGGACATGGTGACAGACTTGTGATGGTACCGATGCCTTTCAACATAGGTACGTCACTGCACCTGGGAGGAAGTGACCTTTAGACTTTGGAAGGCTCAATGAATCGTCGGAACTGCGAGATCGCTACTTACGGACGATGCCAAGGAATGTCTGTGACTTTTGTTGGTACCAAATAAACTTGGTAAGACTACACTAAAGAGAGATCAGTTCATATCACCAAACTATTGATTCTTGCCAAGTCCCGGACATGTTGCCGTTGAAAACGGAGGTGCTCTTGGGCCTGCCTAACACATGCGGAATTATGCCCGCGCAGATTCGAACGCAATGAGGAACCCTCAGGGATGTGCCATTTACATACGGTAGCTTTTAGAGGCAACGCACTAACACAGGGGCCTGCATGTGCTGTCTACGCCCTGTCAAAGCAGGCCAAGCCCCGGGCATGCTGCCCCGCATTCCCCGCCATCGGATCGCTTAGCATCGTACCTATCGCTTTGATCGCGTCTAATTGACTTTCTTATCGTACACGACGGACGCGGTTCCTTCTCTTCCAAGACAACTATCACCAACCATCACCAGTTGCAGCACGCAGACCTCACGCGAGTTGAAAGGAACGAAACCAACTCCGATACCAATTGCACTAGCGAAGAATCAACGAGAAGAAGGAACACGATATGTCGACAGACCAATCACAACAACCAGGAGCTATGCCGTCGTCGTCGTCGGCAGCGGCGGCGGCGCAAAGGGGAGGATCGCAACAACCTCAGTCGCAACCGCAGGGACACGCGCAAGGACAAGCACAAGAAACGAACGGTCACAGTCACGATCACAACCAACAGACAACAAATACCTCCCAGCCCCAGAACCAGAACGAGTCCCAACAAGAAGAACAAGAACAAGAACAACAATCCACAACAACCCAAACAAGAAATCAACCGCAACAACAACAACCAGCAACATCCCAAGCCCAATCCCAAGCCCGATCCCAAAACCAAAGCCAACAACAACCAGAGCCCTCCTCCGAACAACAACAGCAGCAACAACAACCAGCACAACCACCCTCCTCCTCCTCCGATCAACCCCAACAACAACCCACCCAAGAACAACCCGAACAAGAAGAAGAAGAAGAAGAGCAAATACTGCCCGGCCCCCGCGCCACCCGCCTCCAACAACTGTTTTCCACAACTCTCCGGCACACCCTCGACAAGATCTCGCGCGACAATTTCGCGGCATGTTACCCTACGATCGCGGCGCGGGCGCCGGGGACGTTGGAGTTCGTGCAGAGGCAGATGGTGGAGAGGTTGGGTGTTCAGTGTGATGTGAGTATTTCTTTTCCTTTTGTTGGTGATATAGGGTGTATTGGATGGGTGGATGGTGAGGAAATGGGGAGCGAAGTAGGCCAGGAGGAAGAAACGGGAGGAAAACGAGGGAAATTGGGGAGGAGAGGGTAAGAGTGAGAAAGGAAGATGGGAGAGGAAGAGGTAGAGGAGACGAGAAATGGACATGATGGAAGCGGAAGGGAGCGGAAAGAGAGGAAGTTGGATAAAATGGAAGAGAAGAAAAAAGAAGAGGAGGAGAATTTGGTGTTTGATTTTGAGGGAGGTGTTGAAGCGGCGGGCGTAAACAAAAGAAAAAAAAAGAAAAGAAAAAAACGAGAAAGATGACCGGGAGTCAAAAAAACCCCCGGAAAACAATAGTTGAAAATGAAAATGAACCAAAACAGAGGCTAACCAAACCCACCCAAAAATAACAGAAAGAATTCAACTCCATCCTACAAGCGCGGCAAGTAGTACCCAAGCTCAACGAGCTCGAGACACTAGTCGGCGAAGCCAACAAGAGGAAACGAGAGGCTGGTGGTGACGATGCTACTCCTGTACCGTACGGTTTTTTTTTTGGTTTTTTTTTTCTCCCCTTCCACCATTCCCCCCCTCAAAGTAAATACTAACCATGTGAACAAAAAAAAAAAAGACCACACACCCTCCCACCAACCACTATCCTCTCCGCCCACCTCATTCCCCACCTAACAACCACCCATTCCTCTCTCACCACGACTCTCCAACAAACGCAATCCGAGAACCACCAGCTCTTCCAAGATATCCAAGCCCAACGGACCGAAATCGAAGAGTTACTCGCCGTAGTAGAAAAAGCGCTCAAGGATGTGGAGGGGGCCAACGAGTTATTGGAAAATGTTGTAGAGAAGGGAGGCCTGGTGGAGGAGGTTAGGGGTGTTGATGGGGAAATATCTTCTTCTTCTTAGGTCGGTTGGCGTTTGAGATGTACCTACCTACCTCTAGGTTAGGTGAGGGCTGGGACTTGAAGAAGAAGAATAGGAGTGGAAGAGTTGATGGGTTGGGCAACAGAGAGAAGAGAGGAAAGAGAATATGGAATGAAGTGGCTAACATAAAGAGGTCAAGAATTGCGGAGAGAAAACCGGCATGCGAAGAAAAGCTGGACGACAGAAACCGCGGAGGAGAGCATGGCCGGCTTGCAGCTCACAGGGGTGGTGAACAGGATGATTATGATGGACTTGGCACGATGCGGTATCTCAGTGTGTCGTCAAAAGATTAGGTGTCTCGAAGACGGTCTAGGTCTAGTTATCATACATACTCTCGATCAAGACACTCAACAACGGAGGCGATCTTGGCTTGCGGGTTAGGGTTATCCGGATTTGGGGCCGTCATGAAGTCGGTAGTGTACCATGGAAACAACTAGCTCCTGGCCACATCCGCTTGGTTTGGACTGTAGCACGACGGTCACAGGTCTCAGTGAAGTGGGTTCTCAAATGATAGGAAAGCTCATGTCTGATCAACGGGCACGCAGGAACATCATAACTTGTCAGGAGAGTGTATCGACAATGGTATATCAAGTTATATACGTTTATGAATGGGAGGATGTATATATGCATAGCCAACCAAACCCGACCAACCGCTTGCCCAGCCATTAGGTAAGCCGCTATCCAGCGGTACCCATCCACCAGAGCATTCTATCTGATGTCTCGTAGCTATGCCGGTAATACAACGCTACGCAGACTAGTAGGCAAGCAGAGAGGATCAGGTCGAATCTTTCATCCCGAACCATGACGTCCCTTTGCCCACAGCTGCTTCCATGCTGCCATCCACCTATTCTTCCATCAAAGCACGATGCCAAACTCCAGTAGCCAACCTCCCCTTTCCTTTCCAACAAACAAGAATCTGGTATTGGTATAGTAAGGAAAATGTGGTCGAAAACAACGGGCGCTGGATTCGCAGTCTCTCTCTTATGCTTCCAGTAAATGCAAACGGATCCAATCAAAACCAATGCAGGTATATGCCACTCCAGCCGCTCCGGTCAGTCCGCTGACCCGATATGATTGATGATGATAACAGGAAAAATAACAAAGGAAATGGGTATATGATAAAAGTAAGACAACAGCACAACAACATCCCACCGCAGCCCAATCCTGATACGGGGACCGCCCGTATCCTCCTAGTTTTTCGTTCCCATTACACCTTAAAGCAATCTGTTTTCCGCCCGGATGACCTGCCATGGACCGAATAGCTCGACTTCTCCATAGGCTGGAGGCAGCACGCGTACCATCCGCCCTGTGGCCCAGTCCACGTACCATCGTTTGCCGTTTGAGATAATGTAGTTGCTTTTCCGTGGACTCTTGAACAGTAAGACCGAATAACAGAGCTTAGCATACAACTGGTCGTGCGTCTCAGTCCATATCTGTCTCGGGCGCCATTTCCCTGTATCTGGGTCGACGTTCTCGTTCGGATATGATGTTGTCGATAGCCGACCTACTATCGGATGTTGACCGATAACTCCTCGCGCAAATGCCGCGTAGTCGTCCTGCCCCTGAGTTCCTCGCTCGTTCTCCTCTTCGTGTATCGTCGGTGGCCGTGCTGTGCTGTTTCGCCCATTCCTGTTGTTTTCCTCATCCTCCTCAACACTCCCGTTTGACGCGATACTCTGCCTCCTCTCGCTCAACCTCGGAAAACCGTTGATGTTGTCATCCGGAGTCGGCCGTTCCCCACGAAGCCATCTTATCCTCTGAAGTCGCGGTATACTCTGGTCCCTGGGAAAGTCTCGCTCATCGATAGGTGCTGCGACGTTGATGGCGGCAAAGATGCAATCAAGCCACTTGACAAACGTCTTGAGCTCGACGCATGAAAGCAGAAATTGGTCCGTCTCAGCTCGTAAACGGATCACATAACGCCGTCTGCTGTTGTGTCAGCCATCAATACTTCAACCATTTCAAGATATGTAAACGCACTTTCTGTAATCTGCGGCAATACCAGCATCCGCATGCTGTAAACAGTAGCTCTTCTCCAAAGAAGACTTCTTGACCCACGGGGGGCTATCTGGCGAGATATCGGGGCCGTCGTGTCTCGGTGTAAACCATGTTCGTTCCTTCTTGACCGAGTAGATGTTGAGTGCAGTCCCCCGCAATTCGACATAAACCATCTGCCAATTTCGGACCTCGGCGCGTTTGATCGTATGTTCGATTTCCATCTTTCTCATAAAGACCCCTTCCGCGTGTATATCACATGAGTACTTGGGCAGCACATCTTGTGGAGGAGCGACCGGTTTTGAACCCTGTTGTGATGTAGCCAACGCTCTCCTTTGCGCGGCCATGGCTGACTTCATGGCTGTCTCATAACTAGGTGGGTTCGCCGGTCGTGAGGTCATGAGTTCCCGATAGAACAAATCCTCCTCCATCGACATACGGCGCGGGCGCTGCGACGCCTCATCGCCGACGGTGTGCTGCGAGAAGGCATCGCTGGAATCCATGAGTCGACACCTTCCCGCTCTCCGTGTGGGCGGGTGCACAACGTGTGCTTCAACTCTAGCAGGCCTGGTTACCTATAAATCCCCAATCCCCTGATCCGTCTGTCGGCGGCGTTTGCTGAATCGGTATCGTCAAGGGGCCGCCGTCACCGCCTGGAAGTGATCTAAGAAATCCGTCGGTTGTTTGCTGGTAGCTTCCTCCTTCCTAATCCGTGCTTTTTGGCATGTTGCCCAGCCCCGTGCCAGGTAATGATAACTTGCGGCCAAAGAGAATTGGATCCAAGCGAAAGAGGGGTGAGACAACGAAAGCCGTGAGCGGATCCTCGCTTGGTAAAAGTCCTTTCTCCCAGAGATCGGAACCCAACGAGTCGTCGATGCAGGGACCTTAGGGGTGGATGAGGGCGACAGATACACAGAGTCGGGACCGAGAGTCGCTTTTCTTTAAGCTGTGTCTTGGGTAGTGAAGTCGCTCAGCTAGGGCGGCAGTGTGGGGAGGTGTGACTCTGTGGAGTGATCGCCAGGGTGGGAAAAGCTTAGCATAGAAAGGCCGAGTCCGACGGAGGGTGGAGGGACATGAGATGGTGCTCTCGGCCGGCGCTGCTGGCGGGATGGTGACAGTTGAGAGTTTGGGTGTATGCTTGTGTAAGCTAGGTTTTGAGAGGCGCGATAGAGAGAGACGGAGGTCGCGGACAGACACAGAAGGGATTCAATGTAAAGGAGGGAAAGATGAGATAATCCAGGGGGTCGTCAACGTGGTACGGAGTAAGGTATCGAAGGAATAAGGAAGGAAACGGTCAGATCCAAAGCCAAGTATAGTGGTGTGGCAGGGGTAAAATGGTAGTGAAATCAGGCTCTTGCAAGAGTGAAGAGGGCAAGTGGTAAGGTAAGTTTTCCAGAGTCAGGGCTTGCCCGGGCCGGAAGAGAAGGGTGGAAAGGGCGAAAGAGAGACAGACGAGAATTGGGCAAAAGACGGGCAAGATGGAACTCGGGCAGCTGTTCGGATTGTGTTCGTGCGAAATACGGAGCTGAGGGAGGAGCGAGCACGAAGAAGGTAGTGGAGAAAAGTAGCAGTGTGGAAAGCGCAGCGTAGCGAGGGAAGGAGGAGCTTCCAGAGAAACCTACCACGAACTAGTTTAGTGTGTGGTGACTGTGGCCCGGGTTGTACTTGCCTGTGGGAGTGCAGGCATTCACACCACCACCTAGCTGGACACAGTAGGTACGACCCAGAGAGTCGCGGTCACCTAACCGTCCGGGTTGAGTGAGATGCACATGGACAGGGGGGGCTCTCGCGGAAAGCGGTCCCCAATATCGAATCTCTCACCCCCTACTTCCTTCCCTTGAGGGCTCCCCCATCCATCCACCACCCTCCACCGGGCTTTCCAGGTTTCCCATCTTGGCAACGCCCTTTTGGTTCAACGGAGGGGCTGAGAAGCGCGCAGAATGGATAGAGAATCGCTTCGTTTCCCGAGTCACAAAAGCACTTAGACTCAGATGGTCCTAGCAGCCCGCAAGCAGCCCACGCCGTCCACCACTCACTGTGGTCCCGGAACTCTGGACGCGCACTGCCAAGCCATCTCAGCTCAACATGGCCAAGTGCGAAAGCGGTTCGCGGTTTTTCTTCTTTTTCCAGGCAAGGCACCAGTGACAGAGGATCCATCAACGGCTCGCAACGGCCGTACAGTCACTCTATTGACTTTTTTGGACCACAGCTACCGGGCCACGCTAATCGCCATGATGATCTGATCTTATGCACACCAAGGCCCCGGAACCATGCTTGAGACTTTTTGAATCTTGATGACTCTTGATGGCAGAGAGGATGGCGAGGTGAGTTGTGAGTTCAGACGTGTGATGTTGGAATGCCCCGGATTTGAAAAGCATAAAAGCAACAACTGGCATGCAGTTGCAGGTGTCCATCGATCGTTGAACGACACCATCCCGACGCCCGACTATGCACCTCGTCTTCATCACATCAAGAAAGGAGGGAGGAAAAAAGAATTAAAGCGAGATCGAACAACTGAGACTTCGTTTCTGAGACGCATGACGCGGCCATGTAGCAGCGAAACAATTATCGTCCGTCCTCTGTTTCCAAGCTCGTCTAGTACACAGCAGTTGAAAGTTTTAAACAAAATATATTGAACGATCGTTTAGTAGTTCGCATTGCCTGCGTCTCGGCCCCACCGCACCTCTTCCCTTCCACAGCCGTAGCGGCCCCAGCTGGCCGTCTATCGTTGGACACCGCGTCATCCAGCCAATGAGAATTCATGCATTAAGCGGATGGGCCACTTTGCGCATGGCACGCTAGGCTGTTCCAGGTAGGTGCTTTGAGGGGAACGCCAAAGACATCACCACAAGCCGTTCACAATGGGACATGGGCGCTCGAGCCATTTCTAGCATTTCCACCGCGGACCGGAGCTCACTGCTTCCTGACGGGCTGCATTCCGTCAACAGTCACGGTCCGTTTCCGAGAAGAGTGATTCGGCTTGTTGTTCGCTTCGGGAACACCTCCAGTCGGTTGCCTAGGTAGTCCGTAAAAAATGTCATCCGTCATCGCAGGTGGTTGCCGGCTGCTGAGTGTGTCTTTTTGTTATTGCTTGCCATCCACATCTCCATCTCTTGGCGGTACCCTGGAAGTTGGACGCAATTTCTGTGCGACCCCCGGCCGTGTTACTGCGCCAGAAAACGAACATCCCAATCGAGAAGGCAGCCAAAGGGTTTTGTTTCAGGCTGGCCATTGGGAATGTGGATTGTCTTTGACAAAGTCGAGGCCCTCTGTGGCTGTCTTCAATTCTGATAAGTGGATAAGTGGAAACTCCGTCCCGGTTCTCCAAGACTCAGTTCGTCTCTGGGAGGTCAGTCGGTCGGTCGGAGTCGGAGTGTTGGACGGATCAAGTGAGAGATATCTCCTGCAGTTGGCTTTGCAGTTCACACCTTGACACCTCCCCTGCCTCGGCTTTCAGTCCAGTCGAGTCCTTGTGTGTGTGTGTTGACGGCCGGCTCGACCGAATAAGGCTGAATTGCTGGAAAGCCATTCGCAGCCAGTCAAGCCAGTGAGGGCTGCCCATTTCACTGTGGTAGGGGTTAGGACCCCTGGCCAGACCTTCTCGTTTGGTTAAACCAACAATGTCTCGTTCTTGTTTTGGAAGGTGGTGTTTGACACCCATTTCTCTGTCAAAAACCTCCCGCTTTCTCTCACCTTTCAGGTTTGCTGAACCGAATGCTGTTGGCCACCACAATCTCAGTTGTGTCCCGTCAGCTTCAGCATGTCATCTTTCAGCGTCGCGCCGGGCATTAAGGTTCTCGATTGCACTTGTCACTTTCGAAACCCTAATCCCAATATTGTGTTTCAACAAAGAGGATGCCTTTGTCGCTGGCAGGCTGACATGGAGGTCTGGCATGGATGCTGTGGACCCTGAGGACCTTGATGTCGGGTTCTCCATCAAATCGATTTTGACCCTTGGATGGTCTCCAGATTCGCCCCTGCCTGCCATGCCAAAAAGGTCGCCCGCATTTCGCTGGCAATTTCCAAAATAAATTCACAGAGAATGGGAAGGTCGCTTCTTTCTACTTCTTGGTTTATTGGATGCCAAGATGCCTTCCGGATTCCGGGTTTAATGGACGGTACGGAAGGCACGAGGACTACATACGGCCGTCAAGGTGTTCCGGTTCTCGATCCCCGGCCTTCAACATCGGAAACTGAAGAGGAAGGAAGGTTGAGGAAGCTCCGAGCGGTTACATCATCGCAGCTGCTGATCGGGCGAAATTGGGACTTGACCCGACAACGACTTCTTATATCCAGGGAGTGCCTTGCCATGGTTCCTTCCCCGCGATAGCAGCAAAAGCACGCAAGCGCCCCTGTTGTGAGGTCAGTCCAGGGTTGGCGTCAACCACAGGACAGGCAGTTGCTATTTGGGTTTAACGACTCAAATAAGAGGCAGGAACGGGTTGTCATTCCGGTGTCGGCAGCTCTGGGGCTTCACCGGGCGTGCTGACAGACGGGAGTGACTGACTCGACTTTGTTGGTTTACCAATGGAACTGCAGACTTGTTCACTCACGACACTTGCTCCTGCCTGACTAGGTCAAACCGCGTGTCGATCCGGTGCCGCTTCCCAAAACCCAACCGCAATGCTACTCTTTACCAGAGCCAGATTGGTTTCGGCAGTTGCTCCTTCTCACATGGGCTAGATGGCCATCGATCAAAGCAAGAATAACCCAGGCATCCCCGTTGGCCCACTGGAGATCACAAGGAGATCGTCCAGATCACCAGAAGTCGACGTTTCAAGATCAATTGGAGACTACCTACCGCACTGAGCCAAGATATACGAATCCCCTCAACTCTGTGTCCACACGGGTTGAAATGAAGAGCGATAAGGTCGGTCAAGTAGTCTACTGTGTGGGGATGGAAACCCAGAGACAACCACCTACCTCTTCAGTTAACTGATATGCACGTACAGCAAAGACGGTAAAGAGTCGACACTCACACAAGTCTGTCCTTCTCCATTTCAATGCAGGAACAGGGGCACAGCTAAAACAGGATAACCTCGGGATTCCGTGCATTGATGGTGTCGTCGTCATTTATTGTTTAATAGACGCGGAACCCCGTTTTAAGTTCGTCCATTGGCATCACACGTGGCTCCTTCTTAGCTCCCGAGACCAGGTGCTAGAACAGGGCTATCAGGCTACGCCCAGCGCCGTGAGGCCACAGCGTTGAAAGTGGACGGGGAACGCCACTTGTGGTGCAATTACTTGCTCGGGTAGCCCATCATCGTCTCCCTTCCCGTCGTCAAACATCTAGGGGCCCGGGGACCCTGGGTCGTCCGAAGGTGAGGGCAACTTCGGAACTAAACACGGCCTCAGAGAAAGGGCCTCTCTCCACAAGACATCACTCTATGTTTGCTGTCGAGAGACTCTCGAGGTAATAATCATGACAGATGCGTTGTCTTACTCCGTCATATTGCCTGCATGTTTCAGGCCCACTAACCGCGAGATGCTTATACCCGGATATCGACCTTCTAAATCCGGTCAATGGTCAAAATATCCATTACTTCGTACGGAGAAAACTCCCAGCACGGTCAGCCAGCAACACACCGGGTGAATGGCTTTCTGGGTCGGATAATACATCAAGCAAAGCCCGAACCGTGTGCTTCCCTCAGCTCTCTTTAATATCGGAGCCTGGAAAGGCTGGTGCGCAGTCTACTGACCTTCCATCTCGGAACAGCAGTACCTAGGTAGAGATGACCTATTTTTGCTGGGCCGAGGTCCACCCTCCCTAGAGCAGTACCCTACTTCTTCCACCACTCGGACCGTCAGTGGCTGACTGATTCAGCAGATTACCGCTATAAGCAGCTCGATTCTTGGTCGTTGGTGGCAAAGAAGCGTTATAAGTGCAGTCAGATTGGCAGAAGCACACGCAACAAACGCCAGTAAAGCCTCGTTTTCGGATTTGTCCTCTAAAGACCGAGCCGACGAGTTACAAGTCAGAAGGCTTGTGATTCATCCAACGACAAACGGCGCTATTCTCCGCGTTGGAGACATGGAGGGCTCTATAGCCCGTATAAGGCCTGAGATTTGACAGTTATGCAGTTCTTCTCTGAGGAGATAATAAGGAGTGACGTTATACTCCTGAGTAGGTGGCCAAAGCCTCTTGAGCATTTCGGTGATGATCGTGAAGTTGAAAACGCAAGCCATCGGAACAAGCAGGGAGTAGGCACCTCCAAGAAGATGCCTTTTGGAGCCACCTTTATCCGGGGTACAGGATCCGCTTCTATTTCAAAGGTATAGCCAACAGCTACGCAACAATAAGAGTACTCTACCAGCATGCCTCCTGTTTTACTGCGTAGTGTACGTATTGGTGTAACACTAACACCACGCCTTGATTGTTTGGAACTCGAAGTCCAGGACACCACCTTTTTACTGCTGGCCCTTGGATTAAAATCCCGTACGACGTACTCGGTGCAATAGCCGCGCGTATTTCACAACCTTTGAGTGTCTGGTGGATCAGACCCGTTAGTCTTTACCTTATCTCTTCGTTCCATTTGACACCATCATCCTGTGACCACCAGCATATGTATGGCTCTCACACTAACTCTGCCAGATCAAGAAGGGCACTCCGACCTGGCGGCCGAACGATACAGGTTGGGCATGAATATCAAGGCAAGCTCCGGCACCGGAGTCCAATCCTTTTTTGTTTAATTGGAAAACGATCGCGAACTGAGCCGAAACAACCGACGGGACTGGAAGACCAACTTTCAGAAGATGGAGAAGGCTGGAGTCCACCAGTGAACCAAGCTACCGGGCTACCAGCACTTTATCTTCACCTTCCTGAATGGGTAACCGGCTTCCTTCCAGGCTTACATCGCTTCCTGATAGCGAGTCAACTACGTGCCCATATAAACATGCAATGTAAGTAAGCCTCGGACCAGCTGAGTACATATCCTCGACCAAGTGTCCTCACATGAGTGAGAGTGAGACAAAAGCTATCTTACCATGCACTAGTACTATCACCAAGAACCAAGAAAATTTCAATGTCTTATCTCCCAAGGACCCGAGTTGTTCGGCTGGTATCTGAAGTGGTATTGAATGTGCAAAGCGCATTATCAGCCGCAGGTATCTGAACAAGAAACCAGGACGGTAGGTATCAAACAAGGGAAAACCCCCTCTTCTCCTCGGTCAACCTGATCTCCATATCCATGACCCCATCACCATAAGCTTCACCCACGAAGACGTAGTTGTTTTCCTCCTTCGCTCCAGCGAGCCTAGGCAATCTCTGCTCCCATAAACACCACCACGACGTCACCCGGCTGCACGTGGAACTAAGCCATTCCGAGATATTCCTTCTGAGTCAGATACGGCCGTTTGTTGCTCATCTGATCCAGAGTCATTGCGAGTTCTGCTGCTAGACCGGCGTCATCTAGCCATTCTTCTTCCTCTTGTCCTCCTTCTCATTCTCTCTCTTTTGTCGCTTCTTCTGGTGATGGTGTTTTGTAGCCAGCAACGATAACGACGCCTTTGCTTCTGTTCTTGCCTTTGAGCGACAACCCTCCAACCACTCGTCAAAACCCTGAACCATTTCCGAGGTCGACCTCTGGTATCCCTCCTCCATGACAAACATCCTGTCTCCGACCGCCACTCTGTAAAGAGCTTCTTCTTGTCTAGCGCTTGTTTCGTAGATCCGCCTGCTGCTGGAGTTTTTCTCCTGCTTCTGCTGTGAAAGTCGACACAAACGCTCCAAAGAAGCGAAATACTCAACTATCCCCGCATAACCATTTTCCTCAAGCGTCTGATCGGACCACACATGTTCCGAACACTCCTCAATCGTGTCGACCAGATATCCTCGCAGTCCGAGGACATAAGGGGACTCGGTAGAGATGATTTCCACCGTCGATCTTCTCCCGCAAGGTGTAAACAGTGGAATCCGTTCGTCGCCTGCTTTGCGATTTCCAATCACATAGTAAGAAGGTAAAATACCGGGGACGCCAGTCTGGGACCCAATATGGCAACTTCCTTAACTCCGCTTCCCCTTCCACTTCGTTCGAAGAAGGCAAAAACCCATCCTGAGGCTCCATGTCTTCGGTCTTCAACTTGGGAAGCTGCGCATAACTAAGAACCTCCAACGTTCCACCATTCATCACAAACGCCCTCGCGGTATCCGTCAACACTTTTGGTATACTCGTCCTCGCCGAATCATTCGGCTTGATCCCCAGTCTTCCCGCATCAGCCGCCACCCCCACAGTCCATACACCCGATCTTTGTACCTCGTCGCTTGCGGCCCTGCTGGTGCCTCTTCGTTCCCTTCGTACTCATCTCTCCCAATCCATACATACAGCAATTTCATTAACGGCAACAGTGTAAGTTCCGCGGGGGACATGAGCTTAATATCCCTACAGCCAAGTCCCAGTCCAAGATGATGAAATTAATCAGCCTGACCGCGTCCCCAACAGCCGAATGGTGTGTAATCCTGCGCCCGCAGATAAACACCGTATCCTCGTAGAGACAGAATTCCTGAATGGTCCAAATGCGCATGAACCAAGTTCTGGTATACCACTTCTTCAACTTATCCTTGTCTTGCAACTTGATAACCGTCCGCAACGATCTCTCAAACAGGTCCTGCACCTCCTCCTGTCCGTTTGCCGAGGTCCAATATCGACGCATAAACTCATGGACATGTCCTGCCCACTGCTCGTACCCCCCCTCCCAGCACTTTTTCCACAGTTTCAGCCCATTCGCGCGCTAACCCACCCAACGTATCCATCACTTCATCTGACCCGTTCGCTGCTGGGCCAAGCCAGACGAGAACTTTGATTGCTTAGCTATAGATCTGGCCCATAAGTTGCACCTGGCGGGATTTTTCCTGGTTGTCGGCTTGGTTGATGCAGATCTGGTCGATCCAGACGATGAAGGTTGGGTTATTGGCGGAGGGCGGTGTTGAGGGAGGATGTTTTTGGGATTATCACTTGGGGGTAGAGGTATCTTTCTGGTGACCTTGATCTCAGTCTCGCTCTCGCTCTTTTGTGAGTTGGAGGTGAAGTTGGAGATGTTTGGTTGTCATTGTCATTGTCATTGACGATGCCAAAATTATGAGTCTTGTTGGTGCCATCGCCCCAGACATACGACAGCGCGCGGTAGCGAGGCGCGCGGGAAAGGGTCACGGTGAAGAGCTGGCAGCGGAGGGGTCGGAGTATTTGAATGGTGGAAAGAGCTCGAGGAGCCGGATTTGAGTTGAGGGGGTGCGGAGTGGGACGGAGGCGTAGTTGAATGGTTCGTAGTAGTTCATGCTGTGCTCGCTGATGCCGTGGAGGCTGAGCTTGTCTTTGACTCTTCGGGCGTATTTTCGTAGGCGGGTGCAGGGGGTTTTATCCATCATTGCCGTGCTGGTTGGTTCGTTTGAGGATGAAGGTAAAGCACCTCAAGGTTTTGGCGATATTCGACACATGAGGTTTTAGGTCCCCAGATTCCGTGAGATACAGATAGACTTGGGAGGAGGGTATCTCTAGATTGTGGAGCATGCGTATTGCTTACACTCGTATTGCCTAGGTTTAGACGCTAATCTACATGTTGATTAGCCTCAGCTCGATGGTCATGATAACAAACCCAATGAATAACCCGAGTTTCAGAAACTTACAATCAGGAGGACCCTTTCTTACGCCCACGATCATCGAGCTGGACGTGCTCAACATAGACGCCGGCCAAGAAATCTCACCAACGGGTGTAGTTAGGTAGGTAAGCAGGCCAGTCAAATAAAACAACCTGGCGCGCAGATTACCGTGTTGTTTATAAGGATCAGATGTCAGACTAGACACCATAATGAGTATCAGGGTAGGAAAGGCGATAAAATCGTCATATTGTAACGGCTTGGTCAGATGGCGGTATTCAGCAAGGCACGTCTATAGGTAAATAGGAAGCATACAGACGGTCTGTTGGACTCGATTAGTGGTGAATATCCTCGATATAGAAGAAGTCGGAATATTTACGATGAGAAGTCTTTTGAAAAAATCCAGCTGGATTCCTTTCCCGCTGTGGACATGATACACTGTAAGTGGGCAACATATGACTTGGAAAGACAGAGTTGTGCGAACCTGGTATCCAAAGGGGTAGGACATGGCCTGAGTGCCAGCTTTCCAAATATATACCTTTGCAAGTTGGCCAATCCTAGAAGATCTGCCCACTGCCCACTGGTTGCCTGCCTGACCTGGATATTCCCAATTCCTTTTTGTAAGCCAAGTCTTTTTCGCCGGATATTAAATTTCCAACCCAACTAGTAGTAATGTTCTTCCGGCCTCTCCTGGTACCAAAGCAACTGCTGCCCACCAGCAAACGGCTGCTGTACTTGTGGTACCACAATAGACGCCTTCCTCGATGGAGGCAGCGACTCTATCGACGACAACACCCCTTCCGCCGGTGGCGTATCCGCCCTCTCTTGCTTGACCTTGCTGCTGCCGCTGCCGCTGGCACCTCCGGCACTACCATCCACAACCAACGTCTCCGCTAACCCTCTTGCCTGCAACATGCCTGTGTCCGCAAAGATAGTCTCCAGCATATTTCTTGCAAACGCCGTATAATGCCTCGGCACCCCTGGCGCTGACCCGGCCACCTGTATCTGGAACAACAAATTTGGCACACCGGCAACACCAATCCCCGCCCCTCCACTCGTCTTATCGATTAAATCCCGATGTTTCCTCTCCAGCCTCGGGTGTCGGTAGTGCGTCGGGATGGAAACCAACAAGTCGCGCGCCACACGCCGGATGGTGGCAAGGATATTCTGCTGCTCGGCCGGCATGTTCGCAGAAAATACTCGTGAACGACTAATCGGGTACCGATCGCTGAACTCGATCAGCGACCGGCACGTCAGCAGCCTCAGCCAGCGCTGGTGGTTCCAGCCACGGGCGACCCAGTGGTCGGTGTAGACGTGGTAGCAGTCGTCAAAGATGCCGTCGGACGGGAAAAAGCCGGGGGCGCAGCGCTCTTCGAGGACGGTCCATATGGGACTGGCACTCCCTTGACTGTGTCGGCGTTCCCAGGCGTCGAGCTCGGCGTCGATGGCGAGGGCATCCCGGATTACTTGGACGGTTTTGGGCCGCCCGTCAATGAGGGCGTAGTTGTTTAGGTAGGCTTGTAGCTGCAGGAGCCGCGTGGCGATGTCGAGGACCTCGACGGCGGGTTTGTCTTCGGGCGCGGCGAGGCGGTTGCATAAGTCGAACCAGCCGCTGTAAGCGGGTGGGAGGGCGAGGTTTCCGGCATAGAAGGGGTTGAGCTGGTGGGTGTGTTAGTCTGTTGAGAGGAGGTAAAGGGGTAGAGGCCAGGGGGTAGAGGGTTACCATGGAAAGACATAGTTGTAGGAAGCCACGCATTAGGTCTTGAGGTAGGTTGGGAATGCATAAAAAGTTGCTGAGTAAGGCCGTGGCCCCCATCATATGGGTTCGCACAGCGTCGGTTGGTCGACCTTTGTTTCGAATAACCTAGGAGCAAGTAAGTGATACCATCAAGGACGAATGATAGAAGAGAGCAATCTTACTTCATAGACCGCAAGCATGACAACTGTTCGTAGAGATATATCCAGGTTCATTGCCTGAGGGTTTGCTAACGACGTTGCGGTATGTTGAAGTGCCAAACCATATTTCTGCCTCGCCATGGTGTCCAAGACTTTGTCACCAGTAAGATTGGACATGCTTGCCAACCCCACGGCTGCCATCATGTCTCGAAATTCGGGGGCATGAATCCATTCCACCATCCGCAGCTCATGTGAAGCAGTAGGCTCATCTGGATGTCCCACCACATAATGGTCGACGTAAAACTGAATGGCCTGGTCGTCCCTTGTGGCGTAGATCTCTTTTGGTATCCTTGCCAAGCTGTGTTCTGGTGATACCGAGAACTTGAACCGCGGCCTCTCAGAGAAGGAGCTTCGACTGGAGACGATACTCTTGGGAGAAGGAGTTGACGATGAAGATGAAGACGACGATGACGAAGAGCTTGAAGGGGAACGCACGGAATCCGGGATGTCGGAAATCCCCCACTGAGCATGTGCCTTCTGGATAACCTTGGTGCTCTCATCCCGAAACATCAACGACAACTGGTCCCGGTAGCCGGGGCAGCTCTTGCCCACTCGGATGCATTGGGTGCATTGTGGCCGCACCATATCACACTGTAAAGGAAAGGTAGGTATCAGCAATCAGACGAGTTGTCAATAGAGACATGCAGAAGGTCAAGATGTATGCTTGTGTAGTTGTGACCTGGGGCTCTTGTGGGCTGAGCCACGACTGCCACTCAGCAAGGATGACCCCAATAGTCTCACAGCCTCAACATGGACAAAGAGTACTTTTACTTTGTATATGTTTGTCCGTTGCACATTGTGAGACAGTGCTGGTGCTTGAGGGTGTTGTGTGTGAGCGGGCATGTGTATGGAGATGGCCGAGCATACCTTGATTCTCCTGGTTCGACAGTTCTGGCACCCCTGGGAGGCTTTGCCGCAGTAGACCATGGTTCGGTACGAGCCGATGATGACAGAGTACTTGCAAGATGTATAGATTCCGTATTCCGGTGTCGGTAACCAGTAGTTGCAGAGGCAATGCGTGTACTATCGATTCCACCTGAAGGACTGCCGGTCGTATCGTGAGGTTTCAAAAGAGTGACCAAGAGGAGACCATTGATGAGACAGTTGTCGGATAGGGAAAGCAGATCGTAAAATGGTGGGAAAAGCGCGGCATATCACTGCGAAACCATGCCTTATGCCTCCACATTAAGCAGGCCGTGTTCCTGGTCTCCCGCTAGAGACGGTGGCATATGCTTGCTGTCGACTCCCCTGAACGCCCCCAACGAGCAACTTCAGGGTATATCAGTGGACAAGCTCAAGCCTGCCTCTCCCGCACCACCCAGTCAGGGATGCAGCTAGGGTTCCGTGTAAAGCAGAAAGAGATGTCAGGAATGGAACAGCATCGGGGGTTTCGCCGATAATTTCTCGAAGTAACCCACCTAACCGTGGAATAAGGGTCCTCTTTGTATCGAGCTTGACAGCGTGGAAGACAGGAGGGTAGGATTGAGTGCCTTGTTGGACTTGTCTAATTGGAACAAGTGCAGGGAGTGGACTAGAATAGGGCGGGGCGACTGAGACTCGAATTTGTTGTTCGACCTTGTGAGGAAAAAAAAACAAGCGTGTGAGCCTGCTTGGACAGGGGAAATGCCCGACATGTCCCTTGGCTTGATGATCACCGATCGATGATTTTTCGCTGCGTGATGCCGCCGACGCCACTGTCGCCGACGGAACTCTCTCCGCGGTCCGCCTAAAAGCAGATATCGGATGATGAAAATCGTGGATGGAGTAAAGGGGAGCGAAAGCGAGTCAGGCTTCCAGGTTTTGGTGTCTTCCGATGACCCCCGCCGTTAAAATTGATGTATAATATTTCTTTGTGGATTCTGAGGGGACTCCCGAGCTGGGTCCGGGGAAAACAAGCAAAGCAACGTGGGAACAAGTAGTAAGCCGGCGCGGAGATTACCACCTCAGTAAATATCACTTACAGGCAGCAAAAAAGAGCCCCATTCCAATATTTAAACTCCTGGCTTCTTCTCGCCAGTCGCCACATGTACGCAGTAAAGACGTGGAGTGTAGAGTAGACCCCGAAGCGATGTCCAGAAGGCGCCTCCTAGGTATGTTCAAAGTTCGTACACTAGAGGTGACCATTTTCATCCCTTGAGCCATCACATCACAGTCCGAGGTCGGGTAGTTGGTCGTCGCGATCGTAGACAAGAGTCCTGGCACGGTCAGCATTCCAGCTTTTATGGTAGGTTGTCGTTGAATGGTTGGATGAACCACTGCTTTCATCTGTGGGTTTAAAACCCACGCTCCACTTGCCTCACTTACTGTCTGTTGGGGGCACATCCACAGCGAACCTCAACGGTGTGGGGTGACCATCCTTGTAAGCCCAGGCACGGATTCGATGCTTGTTGATCAGCCCGAGACCCCGAGCGACGACACCGCTTTGCTTTCCACTTGCTGCCTGTCTTCGCGAAAAAGCTTGTATCACCGATAGAGATGGCCGAGGCGTGATGGTTGCGGTGTTGCCATGTGACGAAACCTTTTGTGATGATGTACCTGACATAGATAGTACCTACAGTAGCTGTCAAGCCTGCAGAACTGGAGCTCCCGTGTATGTCTGTTAAGCAGCCATGGTCTTCAACTTCCATCACTTCAAGGCCGAAATCGTTCGGCTCCCAACACGGCAACGAAAACTCAAGAGCAGACTAGATGGCTATCGACGACGATGGTCAGAGTCGGAGACTTTCCGAGAGATCCAGTCTCAGATATCGAGTGCTATTGGTAGTCCGGGGTTGTGTATAGCGTCTGGTGGCTAGGCAGGGGACTAGAACTAGGTAAGGGGTACTTAGGTTTAGGTCATCAACCTCCACCACCCCTGATGCTGCAGCCCTTCTAGTGGTACATAACATCCTAGACCTAGAACCTGGATGTCTAGCGCACGCCTCAATCCTTCAGGACATAGTCAAGTGAGGTTCTAAAGAGATGAAGTGCTCAAAAATGGGCTGAAGCCGATTTGTCCATCATGTAGTGTAATGGTGGAAACTGGCTTGACTGTTAGCATTTTGATATTATGCGAGAATTAGCTATGGACGATTGGATGATCGACAAAACTGGTACTATAGGGCTCCAAGCACAAACACTGCTCCTGGATGGGTTGGGGCAGATGCTAGTCTGCTTGATAGGAAGAAGAGTGTCGATGGTTTCGCTGGAAAAGTGCCCTCCATATATATATCACATGTGAAGCACACCCTACATCGTTCCTAGTAGTAGACCATCGATGGCTCACGCGGATAGGGCGCATCATAACCCGATGCGCCATGCCCCTCTCCGGTCTCTTCAAAGTCGTTTAAACCTAATCCTTCCCGGTCTTGAACTCAGATTCAAGTCTGAGGCGGTTCTAACATGACATTGAGTCTGTACCGGATCATCAAGAAAATACATAGCTTCGAGCGGATGTAACTCGACGTTATTGGGTCGGCTCCGGGATATCTGACGGAGTCGAGATTTAGGTATTCGTGTCCAGATCTGGAAGTCAGTTCGAAGACAGGAATGGAACTGAACGGTTCCCATCGGAGAGAAGACGTGGTAGCCACCTGCAAGTACGATGGTGATGGAAGAGGTTGCAAAGTGGAAGGGACTGCTGTCGCGAGTGGGGGCTTATCATCCAAACGGAGGCCTAGACTTCCACTTGGGCAGTTGCGTTCGGTCCGTTCATCTTCTTTTGAAACTCAGATGATCAACTGTCCGTCATTACATGTACAAGATGGAAGGTGCAAAGGAGATGAGAAGCTTCTTGGGTAGAAGAGGTATGTATCTAGGTACCTGTTGCCTGCCAGTAAGTGCTTCTTTCCCCCTTCGCGCCCACGGCAACTTCCGACTTGGGTGAGCTTGGATTGGATGTGGGGGCTCTGCCAGAGGGAGGGAGATTCCCCAAATGCGGGCGGCGGCAAGTGCAACAGCACCGCAACCCAAACCATCAAGTTTTCTGTCCGTTGCTGCCACCAGCTTTGGGTTTTGCCTTTACAGACCGTGACCATCATTCAATTTTACGACTTACCCTTTGGTCCCAATTCTCTCCGAACTCACGACCAGCGTCCAATTCTCAACTGCCATTACAGCACGCCCTTCTCCACTCCGCCAGACTTACAACAAACAACAGTCATCGCCGAGGAGGACAAGTGCTCCTTCCCTTGCCAGCTTTCGATCGACTTTAACCCCCGCCACCAATAATTTTCTCATTTCTTGTGCGGCCACCCCGCATTATCCTTTTTCTTCGCACACCATCATCATCAACCGCCACGGCAAACAATTCGCATCCTGCTTCAATCCGTCAAGCACGAGGTAAGAGGCTCGCCCGAAGCTGTCCTGTCATGGTCCCGGGATGTTGTCAATGACCAGACTGACGTTTGCCCCAGGTTTAGCTCAGATCTCCACTCTTGACTGCCCCACTCTCCTGGCCGCCGTCCACGTTAAATCGGCAGCTTTTTCCCTCGACGCGCGCCGCCTTCTGGGATTCATCCTGCCCTTCCACGACACCGCATTCACATCCACATCCATCAACTCTCTTCTTGGCGTTATCCAGCACCACCGCAATCATGGCAACAAACGGTAATGTTAATCACAGCGACCAGTACGCGACGCCCAGCTCGACAACCGACGCCGCCTCGGCCAATACTTCCACCACTTCCCAGAGCCAGAACCAGACCCTCCCCAACGATGAGGTCGGCTGGTACTTCGTCGAGCAATACTACACCACCCTGAGCAAGAACCCCGAGAAGCTCCACGTGCGTCCAATTGATCCTACCCCGAACCCTTCTTAGTCATTGCTTACTCTATTCGCAGCTCTTCTACGGCAAGAAGTCCCAGTTCGTCTACGGTCAGGAGGCCGAGATCTCCTCTGTTTCCTATGGCAGGCAGGTGTGTAGTCATCGCGCCCACCCCTTCCCCTATAGTGGCCCCACACGTCATCACATGCTGACTCCCAAGTACAGGGTATCCAGGAGCGCATTAAGGGACTCGATTTCCAGGACTGCAAGGTCCGCATCTCGAATGTCGATTCGCAAGGCTCCGGCGACAACATCGTCATCCAGGTCATCGGCGAGACCTCCAACAAGGGCGCCGAGCCCAAGAAGTTCGTCCAGACCTTCGTCCTTGCCCAGCAACCCTCGGGCTACTTCGTCCTGAACGATATGCTCCGCTACATCAAGGAGGAGGTTGAGGAGGAGGTCGAGGAGCCCGCCCAGGAGGCTGCTGCCACTCCCGAGGAGGAGGCCCCCGCTCAGCCCGAGGCTCCTGTTGAGGCCGCTGCTGAGCCTGTCGAGGAGACCAAGGAGCCGGAGCCGGAGGCTGTCGAGCTCGATGCCAGCGCTGTTGACGAGAAGCTTGAAGAGGTTGTCAAGGAGGAGCAGACGCCCGCTGCTGAGCCCGTAGAGGCCGCTGCTGAGCCCGTTGAGGAGGCCAAGCAGCCCGAGCCGGAGGCTGCTCCCGAGCAGGTTCCCGAGCAGGTTCCCGAGCAGGTTCCCGAGCAGGCTCCCGAGCCTGAGAAGGTTGCTGAGGAGATTGTCAAGGAGGAGGTTAAGAAGCCTGAGGAGCCCAAGGCCCCTACTCCCTCTCCTGCCCCTGTTGCTGCTCCTCGCGCCGCTGCTCCCCTGCTGCCGAGCCTGCGAAGCCCAAGGAGCCTCCCAAGCCCAAGACCTGGGCCAACCTGGTCGCTGTTGCTGCCGGCCCCAAGCCTGTCGTTCCTCTGACCAAGGCCGTTACTCCTGCGGTTCCTGCCCAGACCCGCACCGCTGCCCCTGCGGCCGCTCAGCAGCCCGCCGCCGAGCCCGCTGCCGCCCCCAAGGAGCAGGCCAACGAGTGGCAAACCGCTGAGACCAAGCGCCAGACCCGTCCCCAGTCCATGGTCGCCAGCGCCGAGAAGGAGAGTGCTATGGCCTACATCAAGTATGTTACAGACAAGGTCAAGGATGAGGACCTCAAGGGTCTCCTGAGCAGCTTCGGCGAGCTCGTTTACTTCGACATCAACCGCACCAAGGTATGTGACACGGCTCATGCTGTTTCGTTGATATGAACAGAAACTAACAATCTTCTAGAACTGCGCTTTCGTCGAATTCAAGACCCAGGCCGGCTACAACGCCGCCGTTGCCGCCAACCCCCACACCGTTAATGGCGAGAACATTGTTGTTGAGCAGCGTCGCCCCAAGTCTACTGCCTTCGGTGGTAGCAACTACAGCTCCACTGGCGGCCGTGGCGGCGCCGCCGGCCGTGGCCGTGGTGGCTTCGAGGGTGGTCGCTCCGGCAGCCAGAGCGGCGGCCGTGGTGGATTTGGTGGCCAGTCTCGTGGCCGCGGCGGAGCCAACCGTGGCCGTGCCCCTACTGCTCAACCCCCTACCGCTTAGGTGGCGTGAAGGATTGACTAAGGTCACAGTCGGTGTTGCCTGAAAGCTCGTCACATTGCCCATTGTGATGAGTGATGAAATTTACATAAAGGTATATATGGTTGTTCGTCTCGTTTGCGGATGGGCTGGAATCGCTTGGAAGGTTGGGAAAAGACCTGAAGACAAAAGGAGGCATATTCGCCGCAACCATAAACAGGGAAATGACTTTCATTTTTGGGAGGAAACAGGCCAGGAAGAGAGGGCTACAACGCATCCATATTTAGGCTTGTTTCTTATCTTTTTTGTGTGGGCGGGCAGGGTCCCAATACGGTTGTGTGGTGTTTGGTTGTGTTTTTATGCTTGGAGTTTCGGAGCGATCATGCATATACAAAAACTACACCACTTGGCATTTCTTCCCACCTCAGCATTCCTGGAACGTCTTGTCCGTGCTCCTCTTTCTGATCTAATGCTTGAGGGTTAATCGGTAAGTAGGTATCTAATATTCAGTATCTATTTCCGAGAAGAGCAATGGCGCAAGCAAGGTTAACAGAGGCCACAGTTCTAGTTGAAAGTTTCCACCACAAAATCATGACCACAGTATCAAGCTTGGACATAACAAGAACCAGCAGGTGTATTGCATCTGTGAGCTCTCATGAACTTTTGAGTCGAAACCACGCCCCTTAGATGTGTCAATAGTCCCATGATCGTACTCGACTGTAGACAACGGAAGAGGGTGCATGTGAAATCCGCTGCTCTCGTTGCTATCTCTTGGATGAAATACAAATATATTGCTTTTCCCAACCATGCTCTATCTTAATCTGACCGCTTTCTAGATTTTGCCACCCTAACACAGACGCCCATGTCAATCAACCCGCAAATCTATATACATACAAAATACACTTAATGTTCCTCCCTCCTTCTCCCTTCTCAGACCGAGGTAATGAGACTGGCAGCGAGCCACATCCTAGCCTACCTTAACCCTGACCCCGATTGCACCCAATCATCTCGACTCCCACACCCTCTCTCGCACACAACAGCCTTAGACCAGTCGACGAGCAGAGACTAATCACGACACTCCTAATCCTGGTTAATCTCGCTCCCATCTACCCTGCTCTTGTACTTCTCAGCCTTCACCTTCCTATCGGGCGCCCACGTGCTTGCCTCTCCAAAGGCAGGATCGCTCTCCTCATACCCGCCCAACTCCCTCCTGACCTTAAGGACCTGCTCCCTCATCCTCCTCGCACACTCAATCCTGATCTGCTGCGCCTCTTCAGAGTACTTGAGCTGCTCAGGCAAGTCACCCAGCAGTCTCGGCTTGCGCTCAACGAGCTCCTTGCTCTTGGCAGCCGCAGCCTCCTCTTCGCGACTTACCCTCTCAACCTCCTGCCTCCACCGTCTCCTTAAATCCCCAAACGTCGCTTCGTAATCCACCACCTCGCCAAACGCCACTCTGATCTTCTTGCCGATCCGCGGCAGGAACCGCGGAAAGCCGCGCTCCTCGTTCATCACCTGCTGCGTCCCGTCGATGAACATGGGCACCACGTCCGGGGCCGGCTCCGATTCCAGGATCAAGCGAGCCACGCCCCACTTGAAGTACCGCAGATCCACCTGCGGGTGCTGGTGGACCAGGCCCTCGGGGAAGACGTGCACCCATGAGTGGCGGTTGGAGGTATAGATGGAGGGCGAGGGGTGCGAGTCGAAGCCGGTGGTGGAGTAGGTGAGCGTGCCGACGGTGAAAGGGTCGGGGATGTCGACTGCTGAGGGGGTTTGCGAAGAGGTGACGGGGGAGGTTAGAGGGGCTGGGGAAAAGCCGGGCTGCGTGAAGGGCTGAGCCGACAAAAGGCGGATGGCTTGGGTTAGGGCCGGCTGGAAGAGACCGCCGTGCTGAGAGTGTTTGAGGCGGTGGCAGGGGAGGACTTGGCCGGCTGTGAAGAAGGCGGAGAATGTTCTGTGAGGGGAGGTTAGTGACTTGGAGTGAGATGGGATGAGACGGATGGGATGGGATGGAATAGGGTGAGGGATGGGGAGTGGGAGATGGAGACGTACGGGTTGGCGAAGCAGATATCATGAGCGGCCAGCGTCCAGCGGAGGTTATTCGGGTTGAAGGCATAACTGAATGGGAGGACACCCCATACTACCGGGTCATCGAGTCTGGAATGATATCACGTTTGTGAGCTTTTGGTGTTCTGAGTTGAATTTAAGAGCTCACGAACATGAGGCACTCACACACTGATGTGGTTGGAGACTGTATTTTACAGTGTCAGCCAAGAATTTCTTTCCTTAGATAAATTTTCCTAAACTTACCTGTAAGAAGTCCACGTTCTCTCCTTTCCGGATCTTCACGACTGTCTAAAAGCTGCTTAAACCTGTCGAGACCCTTGACTTCAATGTCGTTCAAGCCGTACAAGAACGTCCTTGAGATGACACCCGTCAAGCCCATAATCATCACCGACGCAATGCGCGCCCCGAGATTAGGGCTGTGAGGTGCTTGTGCACCCGAGGACAGCTGATTGTGTATTTGATGTTGTTGCTGTTGCTGTGGCGAAGCCATCGTGCTGTTGCTGGTGCCAGAGCCGGTGGCAGCAGCAGCGGCATCTGCAGCCGTTGCTGGTGGTTTATAATCGGCCGACGACGTCATGTTGGACGACATTCCCGAAAAAGGGCTGACCGTTTTGGAGGTGAGAGTGACGACGGTCAATGTATCACTGGCTGTTCTGGTAGGATTTAAAAAAGAGAAAGCGTTCGGCGAATGGGCGCGGTATAAAAAAAAGACGAAGGTGTTGTACCAAGTATTTTGAAATTTTAATAACGAGTCAAACCCGGCTTCTTTTCAATCCTTTTGCCATCCGCAGTGCAGTGCAAGTCACTCAACTGGAGTGGAACATGGAGCAGGCAGTGAGTCTAGTCGATCCCTCGGATAGCCGTCCCCGCGACACAATCACAACGGAGCAGAGGGAAGAGAGAAGAGAGAAAAAAAACAACAGATTTTCTAGGTTAGGTTACAATGGAAATTGTTGAGGCGAAATATCCGAGTTTCGCTTCCTTTTTTACCGTCTCTTTCCATCTTTCTTCAATTGACACGGCAGGTGGGAGGCAATCGGTAACGAACCGTTCCTCCGCTGTAAAATGCGACCGGGCCAACGATTTCAGCATGTGCCTGACAGGGGCGCACGGGGCCGAAACAGGGTCACCACAGTGGACAAGTCTTCCCCACAATCCCCTAATCCACATTGGGCCAGACTGGTTCCACAAGGGCCCCGTCCACTGGCGCCCGCCCAAACAGTGGGCCTGGGGAACTGCTGCAATTCCCAGCCCGGCTTGGAGCTTCCGTCGCGACTTCTCTTCCACACTCCGTGACCTCACGACTGTTTCTCCAAAACTTTCGCCAAATCAAAACGTCACCAAACCTCTTCAACCACATCACTCTACCGCATCAACAGCATGTCACACAGTAAGCCCCAACCTCCAATTCGCTGAAAACACATCCGAGACTCTAAGACTCTGACCTCCCAGGCAAAAGAAACACCAGCCGACCGGTTTTCACCTCGCACGAGCGGCAGCTAGCCAAAGCCGCCTGGACCGCCTCCTCCGCCCGCCTCTCGCGCGAATCCTTCCTCCCCTTCGCCTCATGCTCGCTCTGCCTCGAAACCGCCATCGACCCCGTCGCATGTTTGCACGGCGACATCTTTTGCCGCGAATGTGCCCTGACGAACATCTTGGCGCAAAAGAAGGAGATCAAGCGCGCCGAGAAGCTTCGGGAACAGGAGGAGAGGGAAGAAGCTGAAGAGCAAGCGAGAAGAGATGCCGAGGCGCAAGAGAGGGCGATCAGGGAGTTTGAGATGACGCAGGCTGGGTTGTCGATTCAGAGGGCCAGTGGCAATGAGAAGCAGGACATCACGGTGCAAAGAAGCGACTCGACAACAGCTAGCGGAAATGGAGACGAGAAGAGGATAGAAGAAGGAAAGAGAGGGGAGAAGCGCAAGTTTTCTCTAGACGGAGACGAGGTCGCAAGAATTGCCGACGAGGAGCGAGCTAAAGCAAGGAGAGCCATTGAAGATGAGAAGGTATGTTCACCCTCCCCCCTTTTGCTCGTTTCGTACTAGACATTGATCGCACACATACTAACTCCTGTTCCCTCCAGGCCTCGAAACCCAAACTCCCCTCCTTCTGGTCACCCTCCGTCACACCCTCCTCGAATTCTAAAGACATCCTCCACGACATCAAAAAGAAGGTCAAATCCCAGCCGACATGTCCCGCCGCGCCCGAAGACAAGCCGCACTCTTACTCACTCCACACGCTCGTCACCGTCAACTTCACCGAAGAAGAGGAGGAGGACCCCGCGACCAAGACCAAGAAGAAGACAAGGATATGTCCCGCCTGCAAGAAGGCGCTGTCGAATTCATCGCGGGCAACGCTGGCGAAGCCATGTGGTCATGTGCTCTGCAAGAACTGCGTCGACAAGTTCATGAAGCCTACGGGCCATCACGATCCGCATGCGCCGGATGTTGATCCCGATGCTATCGTGTGCTATGTCTGCGATACGGAGTTGACGGAGAAGAAAGAGGAGCCGAGCAGCAGCGGTAAGAAGGAGAGGAAAGAAGGGAAGAAGGAGAAGAAGAAGGAGAAGGAGACGATAAAGCCTGGGCTGGTGGAGCTGAGACGCGAAGGTACCGGGTTCTCGGCTGGAGGCACGAATCAGGTTAAGAAGGACGGAGTGGGCTTCGCTTGTTAAAGTTCTTCTCTTGACATTCACAGGTTACGATCACTGTCACAGATATATGTTATACCCTTCAGCCCAAACAGACAAAGATTTTAATTCACAGCATGCTCGTCACCAGTACTATACATACGCCTGTACGCCTTTAAATGCAACCGCCCATTTTTGCACCGACACTCATCGTCGTCATCATCCACCCAGCCACTCCCACTCCTTTTTACTCACCCTTCCCCTTCCCAATCAACCCAGCCATCACCAACTCTGCCTCAACCCCCTCTGCCTGACCATCTGCGCCGCCAACCCCGCAAGCATGTGATACCTGCTCACGTCCGCCCTCGCCTTCTTCGCTTTTCGGTTCACCTTTTCCTTCAATTTCTTGTAATCCTTCAGCGCCGCCACCATAGCAAAGTACAGCTGGATGATCAGCCCGTGGATGATGTCCTTGGACAACATGGTCAGCCCGTGGTTGAAGAAGGCCTTGAGCAGCTCCCCGCCGATTCCGTCGTAGAGGGCTTTGACGCCCTCGGTTTGGGCTATGCGCAGGACGGTGGAGAAGATTGTTTCTCTTCCCGTAGCTGCTTTTTTCGTCGTTTCCCTTGCTTTTTGTGTCGCCGTTGCTTCCCCCTTCTCTTTTACCCCATCCTCTTGCTCTTGCTCTTGCTCTTGCTCTTGCTCTTGCTCTTGGGACTGTGACTGAGCCCCAGGCGGCGCAGAAACCATAACCCTAGCCTTTGCAATCTGGAACGGATACGTCACGCTCGTCGCCATGACTTTACTAAAAGCCGCAATCACAAACGTGATTGCACTGCCAGGTTCCTCCCAGTTTTCTCGCGAAACCAACATCCGCTTCAGGATCTGCTGCAGGAAGAAAGTCATGGATGGATTAAGCGTCAATACCAGGCTGGCGGAGTAGCCGGCCCATAACCCATTCAGTACACCGCGCTCGCGGTAGATCTGAAGAATACTTTCGGTGAAGGAGAGGTCGTTTCCATTTGTTGTCTGGTTCTGGGACCGGGAAGTGGGGGAAGTTGGGGAGAGCGGTAGTGTTGGGCTTGGGCCTCCTTCGGTAGGAGTAGAAGGTTGGCTTCGCGAGGAGGAAGACGAAATAAGGTTGGCCGTCTGTCGGCGCGTAACGACGTTGGAGACGGGCGTGGTGAAAAGCTTTGCGCAGGCGCCGGCCGCGGCGCCGACGGCGAGTTCTTCGAGGACTTTGAGGTAGGGCTCGTTAACGCGGAGGCGTTTGGCGCGGAACCACTGTTTGTTGTCATCATTATTTTATCAGCCAACATTCATTCCTTGACAGTTCACCTCCCGCCCACTTCTCCATCCCCCCTTTCGCCTTCCCCTTCCCCTTCTCCGTTTGTTCCGTCCCTCCTCCAGCTTCCCCTAACCCAACTCAAGCCACCATACCACGAGAACAAGTAATTGAAGAGGAAAAAAAAAAACCCAAAAAAAAGTGTAGAAAAGAAAGAACAAAAAGCTATCAGCAGCACTCTTCCCCAAATCCGCGCCCAGTCCCGCAAAGAAAGCTTTCACCCCTCCTTCCCTCTCGTAAATCGCTTCAAACGCCTCCAGTATCCCGCCATACCCGTCCTCGGGCCCGATGGCCCCGTCGGCGCGCAGCTGGCGCTGGACTTTAAGGCGCGTGTTGACGAGGTCGAGCGGGTAGGTGGCCAAGGTGGAGATGATGGTGCCGCCGGCGCCGGATGCGGCGTGGCCTAGGGAGGGGAGGAGTTTAGATGCTCGGGGCATTTTGTTTTTGTGTTTCTGCGTGTCTCTGTGTCGGAGGTTTTGGGGTGTGGGTGGGTGGATGGGCGGGTGGTGTAAGTGATGTGATGCTATTTGGGGAACAAAGAGGAGGAGTGGTGATGGTGAGGGTAATGAATCAGGAGAGGAGTTGGCTGGATTGGAAAGAAACCGACAATAGAAATCACAGGACACTGCTGGTAGATGGAAGAAAAAGAAGTGAACAACGCAGACCGACTCCGAAAAAAACAAAAAAACTATGATGATAACGATGATGCGAAAAAGACCTGGGGTTGGGTTGGACAATGTCGCAATGGGATGGCAGATGCCGAGGTCTAGAACTATGCCCACATTGGCTGTACACTTACACAGTATGAAGCGACTTAAAAGTGTAGGCGCGATTCGACGTCATCCCGTCCTTGGCGCACATGGGGGGTCTCTTCGGGGTCGGTCGGGGAGTTGGTTGATCGGCAGTTTGAAGCATGTGCCATTCATTGCCCGTTCATTCCATCATCATGGACAGCAGATTTGGTTGACACTCAAAGATACTTCACAAACTTCTCACAGATTCATGAATACCAGTTGAAGTATCACGCTAAATATATTCACCCTTTCTATCCACTACCCTTTCATACCGGGTGATCGCTTTGAACCTTAGACCTGGGTTTCTTCCCAACCCAAACGCACGAGGTCGTACGACTTCGTGAATCTGTAACTGACTGAAAACTCAAACCTATCCTACCCGCTTGAAATGAACTAGTATACTGACCAAGCAAGTCCCAATACCAGAAAGTAAGGGACAACAAGTCGCAGACGAAAGATGTCAAGTAAAAACAAGATCGGTATGTACCACCCGTACGTAGGAGAACCGACCAACGCCTATCCCCTCTCAGTTCCAACCAGGTATCCCAAATGTAAACCGTTCCTGAAGAAACTTCTTAACGCCAAATGAAAGAGACCAAAAACACGAAAGCCGCATAATTATAGCGTGGAGGAGAGAAAAAAAATGCCCATATTGGCGAGCCCACGCAGATAACAAAAACCTCCCCGTGTAGGGTCATGCTGTAGTCGCATTTCTCGATCTCCATATTCTGACCTCATATCAAATGTACTGAGGTTGTGCAGTCGCGAACTCCGCTCTCGCATGCAGCCAGGGCCTCTGTCAAAGCCATCCAGTCCTCAATTTTGCCGATTGCTGAAGCGCATCTAGTCGTCAATATCAACCAGACTGTCCTCCTCAACGGGAGGACCTTTGAGGCTCTTCCCTCCCATTGGCCCGTAAACCTTCCTCGGTGAGCTGATCAAATCTCCTTGGAAACCCCTTTTCACTGGTGAAATGCCCTCGTTCGCTTGTTGAGTACGCTTCGGGACCTTGAGTATAATCCGTGGTATAGGCCCAGACCGGTTTCGCCGATGGTTCCCGCCCGTCTGTGGAGTTTCTGGTAAAAATTGCTGAGTTCTGTATACCGGTGATGATGCTGCTGGTCGTTGACGAGCGGCTGCCGGGGTATTTGAGGGTGAAGTAGTACCGCCGCGGAAAATCGTATTAGAGCCGTGCCGAGGGGAGTAAGTAGGTTTGAAATGCGCCTGTTCAAGCGCATGCTGAGATGGATGAATTTCGGGTTTGTTAAATTCTGAACGAGGGTCAATCGGCGGGCTGGCGGATTGTGGTCTCGTTGGTTGTTTCCCTCCGCTCAAGCCCTTTTGTGCTTGTAGTCGTTGCTGATAAGCCAAGTATTCCCGCCGGTACTCATCAAGCTTTTCCGGGTTGTGCTGAGAAGCAATATATATCTCACGGAGCATGTCCATCTCTTCCGGTGAAATATCCGGACAGATCTTGGCGTCCATTGTGCGGACTTCGTCCGGGATATGAGGACTGTGGTGTGAAGACGTTTGGCCGGGTGATGCTGAGGACAGCCGCCGACTTGGATGCCGGGCCGGGGTTTGTGCGACTGCTGCGCTCACAAGGTTTTTCCTTCTTGGAGAGGCGACGTGTGGGCCTCCTCCTTGAAGCGACACGTCAACTGGGCCCCTCCTAACGGGTGATCTATTGTCGTGATGCTTATTCGGTCCTGGACGGGCAACACCGCCCTCCGCATCGCGGCCTGGAGGTCTCTGTGCGGTGTTTGCCTGCCTAGGGAGCCTATGTGGGCTTGCCCCGGGGCCAGGTCTCAAGGAATTTGCTGAGTATGGTAATCGGACGCTATCATGTCTCCTGTTAAGAGCAAACGTCTGCTTGACGTACTGTCCGGTTATCTCCCTTGGACTCCTGGGACCCTCCAAAGCATCCGTCACATGTGGCGGTACAGGTCGTTGTACCGGCTTCCCGTGTGGTGACGATCGCAGATTCAAATCCAATTCAGGATCCGGGCGTACTCGTTTCAGTTGTGGTGTTCCCGAAAATCCCCCCTCTAGTTGGTCTGCCCGCCGCTTCCTTTTTGGAGCAGACGTACTGGATGTCGTGTCGCTTTCCAGTATCGGGGATAAAGCAGTATTAGGTTTTCGATGTTGCGATCCCAGATTCGAATCCAATCCAGGGTCCAAACGTGGTCGTTTCTGTCGTGATATATCCAAAGATTCCTCCTCTAGTTGGCCTACCCGCCGCTTTGTTTTCGGGGCAGGATTCCTGGCTATCGTGTTATCTTCCAGTATAGGGGATAAAGCAGTATTAGGATTTCGATGTTGTTGCGATGGGGGGCTTTGTGGCCGAGCATCCTAAGCTCTGCTTGTCACTGATGGCCTTCGCTGCGGTGGTCCTGCAAGACTAAAGGTGGATGAACGTCGAGAAAATGAATCTTGCATGGACACGTCGGGGTCGCCGCCATGTTCCTCTTCGTGCTGCTGATAGAGACCGGGATGGCCCTCTGGCAGCTTCTGGGCACCAAATCCAACGACCTTGAAGATGTTGAGTCGACCGCCATTGGTTACCGTTTGGAGTTGCTCGTGTAGTCGTGCCAGCTGGTACTGCCTCTTGATCGGTGCAATAATGGGCTGAGGGACAACCGGTTGTGGTCGCCAATTCGCTAGGGCGTTCATGACGGCAGCTGTCTCCTCGTCACTGTCCACCGCACCGGCATTCGGATCGTCGTCGTCCTCTAACGGGGCATTCGCGTCGATGGCGGCCCTCTGCTGCTTCGCTTGGTTCTTCTTCTGGTATGCCACCAGTAGCATATCATACGGTAAGGATCGCCCTGGTACCGATCTCTTGGCCGACATACTATGACTCTTGCAAGTGAGCGAACGGGCGCAAGGCTGGCCGTTGGGCAAGATGACACCGCACTGCCTCTCAACATCCACAGGGCCCTTGGGCTTGGCGGTCTTGGGTTTCGGTTCGTCCTTCTTCTTCTTGGCCTTGCCCTTCTCCAGGTCTCCCTCGGCCTTCCTCTTCTTCCCGCCGGTATCGGGCTTCTTGCCAGTCGCCTTCTTGGTCGTCTTCCCGCTGTTCCCTTTCCTCTCGGGGGTTCTTCGGCATCGCTGTCGTCGTCGTCGTCGTGTGCATCACCGCCGGGATTGTTTTTGCGGGCCTCCTCCTCGCGCGCAGCTTCCTTGGCGCGCTCACGCGCCTCGCGGGCCTCCTTTTTGCGTTGCGCCTTTTCCCTCTTGATGCGGAGACATTCGTCGATATGCTCCTTACCGGAGGTTCTGATGACTCCCTTTTTGCAGAGTTTGCAGTAGATAAGGTCGGGAACATCGTCGAGCGGCCGACCGGTGTCGAATGTTACTTGTGCGGGAGGGTCGAGTTGATTGATGATGGGGCTCGGGGGAGCCTCTTTGGCTCGTTTCTTTTCCTCGTCTAAATTTTGTGTAAGCAACCGGGGACATGGGGATCGAGTTGATGATGGATTTCGGAGCTGAATGGTTTGGTTACATACTCTCGATCGATGTCGTGGCCTCCTTCCAATTGCCTGGCTTAGAGGGCTTAGTGGATTGTCTCTTCAGCTTGGCAACATTACGGATCGCTTTTGACGAGGCGACTTTGATAGTGGTCGCCTCCTCGTCTGTTTCCTCGCAACAAGAATGGTCAGTGTCGTTCTCTGTGGAAGGCATTGTATCGCCATGGTTGCGGGCGCGCGTCAGAAGGAGCATCGTACCTTTGCGTGACTCTACGGTAGCCATCGCGGCGACTGTTCCTGGGGGAAAGGGTTTAAAGCATGCAGTGGAAAGATCAGGAGTTGTCGATGGAGAGATCGCTGGTCGGTTAGATGCTGGGAAGGCAAAATGCCATGCGCCGAAATCGAGATGGGAAGTGGTTGAAGTTGGGTTGTCCGTGGCCAGGAGACACGAGATGTCGTTGGGGGACGGGTTATTGTACGGTTGCAGGGCATGGATCAAGCTCGGGCAGTCCAGTAGCGGCTCTTTGGTAGCGTCGAACTTCGTCGCAGTGCGCTATGTCCGGCGCTGGTACACTGCGGCTACAATAAAATAGGTGAAGACGGGAGTCGGAAGGCCCAGGCTTCCAGGCACTCCCGTCTTAGGTCTGGGCCGGCCAGGGATCAAGGCTTATCGATAGGCCGCTCCCGCCCTCTTGCGGGGTGTTCCACCTCCGGGGTGGTGCGTGGAGTCTGGGGGACCTCAATGCATCGACCCAACAAGGGACTCATTGTGTTTGTTTTAACGAATGTGAAGAGCCGTTTGGGTTGATAATAATTGTACACTTATCGTAAACAATGTAGGCTTTAAAATGAATGCTAATTGCAAACAAGTGAAAAATTTTATCACCTGCTTTTTCACAGCACTCAGCCAGATGAGCTTGTATCGTTGGTAGTATCTGGACTCCAAATACATTAAGACAGGTTGATCAGTTCCCAAAGCACCGCTCACGAGAACACTCAGTAACAGCAGGACAAAAACAATGAATAGACAACACTCTCAAAGTTCGCTTTGATTTCATACCTATTCCCATAGAATCTCCACTGCAAAAACATCATATCGGTCTCGAAAGAAATGGAAATACACAAGTACGCTACAGCATCTGAACCTTCCTCTAGCCTCATACTCCCATAAGCCTATGCTGTCGTTTTCTTCTTATCATCGTTCAGGGTTCCGCCATTCCCCTTTTTTGTATGTGAAAGATAAATAAATAAATAAATGTGCTACGTGGATGATGAAAACACTGGCTGTTGTACTCCTACTATTTTCTTGTGCTCGTCCGTCTATGTTAATTGGCTTCGCTTGTAAGGCTCGAGGAGCTCCTGGAGCTCAAGGAGCGCGAACCCAACCGAAATAATTGAAAATCACAAGAATGCTCCTCAATCCCAAGCCTAGACACGGTCATCTCTCCCAAAATGGTTGGCTTTAGGTGTTTGATCAGGATCAGAATGATCCACATTGTGAGTCTGAGTGTGGAAGGCTCGCGGGGTCTCCGCCTGTTGTTGTCTAGGCTCAAATGACGCTGCTAACGCCGAAAAAGGAGGGAGAACCGCAGGCACAAAAGATTGTTGAGGCAAAGGAAGCCGCGGCGGCATCACATTTGGGTGTCCATTACTGCCCGCTGCACTTGTTTGTACACGAGGCTGATGTGGCATCATTATATTTTGCTGTCCTGTATTACGCAGAAGCGGGTTGAAACAGTGTTCCACGGGGACTATCGGCGGTAGAGGTAGTCCGGATGCCCGAGTATTCATGCTGATAAGTTTTTCCATCGCCATTTCTCGATTTGTAGACAGACCCATGCCAGGGTTGGGATTTGCCAGCCTTTCACTTTGAAGAAGAGCAGTGCCACTGTTAACCAAATCATTCAGTCCCGGTAAATGCTGGGGTTGAACCTGTTGAGCTGAAGGATACTCTGGTCTCGGTTGAGGATGACTCCCCAGTGGATGATGTCCGGACATTGGTTGGGGATGTGTCCCAAGTGAGTAATATCCTGGCATCGTTCGAGAAGGCAATGAGTGGTGTTGCCCTGGCATCGGTTGATGATACCCCATTGGTGGATAATGTTTGGGTATAGGTAGATAGCTCTTCGGTGGAGGATATCCTGGCATCGGCTGAAAAGATCTTGGTGGGTGATAATGCTCTGGCCCCAGCATTGTCGGCCTTCCTAGACCTGGATTGTTCTCTTCGGCGCCCCAGCCCTTGGATACTGGCACATATCCCCCACGATCACAGAACTCTGGCGGATTGAACCCTGGCACAAACGGCCACGGTCGATGGAACGAAACTGGTGGAGGAAACCCTGGCACCGGCGGTGTCCGCCTTCCGGTATTCGCTTCTCGAGGGTGCTCTGTCTAGTAGCCCTCGTGGTGGTAGTTGGGCTGCGGCTGCCCATAGCCTCTTTGCTGCTGCATCATTGGCTGTTGCTGCATCATGGGCGGCTGTTGCCCAAATGACTGCTGCGCTTGGTGGTGATGCTGTTGGTGAACCAGGTCGTTGAACCAGTGGTGCTGGAGCGCATCGTGGGCCGAAATTCGCAATTCGGGTCGCAGCTGTAGCATGCGCTGAAGCAAGTCGATGCCGTCGCGGTCGATCTGAGGCAAGATGGAAGACAGGCTCTGTGTCGCATACATTTGCCAGTTGGGCTTGTACTCGGGGAACGAGGTGAGACCAGGCCATGTGCGTTCCGTCGGCGTGCCCATTATCCTAAAAATGCGAACAATCTGATCCTCATTAGTGGTGCCGGGAAATAAGGGCCTGCCGGTGAACATCTCAGCCATGATGCATCCCGCCGACCAAATGTCGATACTGGTGTTGTAGGTTCTACTTCCAAGCAGCACATCGGGAGCTCGATACCAGAGAGTGACGACCTCATTCGAAAAGGTGTTAACTGGAATGCCGAATGCTCTCGCCAAACCAAAATCTCCCAACTTCAAAGCGCCCTTGCTGTTGATAAGCAGGTTCTGGGGCTTGAGGTCTCGATGTAGGACCCTGTTCTTGTGGCAGAAGTCGATACCCTTGAGCAGCTGATGCATGAAGGACTTGATGACATGGGGCTTCAGGGCTCCCCTTTCGCCGTTGGTGTCCATGAACTTTTTGAGATCGCCATCCATGTACTCGAACACCAACATAAGCTTGTTTTCGGTGTGAATGACATCGTGCAGAGCTACGATATTCTCGTGCTTCAGTTCTTTCATAAGAGAGATCTCGCGGATGGCTGTGCTAGGTGTTCCCTCTTCCGAGTCAAGGTGAATCTCCTTGAGAGCTACTAGCTCGCCTGTCTGTCGGTTGCGGCCTTTGAAGACCTAGAAGTGGGTTGTCAGTCATTTGTGCCATATGACTGCTTCCTCGTGGTGCGCCCAGCGGAGCATAGTCCTGGGCCAGGCCAAGGAGAGATCTCTTACAGTAGCATAAGTGCCCTCTCCCAACTTCTCAAGCTGCTGGAAAGAGCTTGGGTGTTTCCTGCCGTCCATGGCTTCTCTGACTGCTGAAGATGGACCCGAGTGGGCTGCGGTTGAAGAGATGGAGGATTGTTGGATCAGATAGTGCGGCTGAGCCGACGGCTGTCGCTGTGTCGTATGGGCGCGGTTGAAAAGGACGGAGCCGATAGTCGTTGTTTTCCGCAGAGGATTGAAGATTTCGCCGCCTGTTGGATTTTGTTGGTCAGGCAGCTGTCGCCCGTGAGAAGCCGTGTTGGAGAGCAGAGATGCACTGAAGCAGTCTCTGCGCCGACAAATCAAAGAAGTCCAGAACGATGCGACAATGGGACCGGCGCCAGTGGGCGGTAGGGAGGAGGTAGCCTAGAAGTTACGGCGCGGTGGAATTGGCTGAGCTGGGTAATCGCGGAGAGTTAGAATCCTTAACGGTCAACGTTGACGAGAAGCAGATGGCGGCGTTTGGATATGTATCTGATCGGTCGGGGACTTCTGCTCCGCGGACAAGCGGATGGTGAAAGACAAGCGCGCGCGTCGACTAGTTGGAAAGAGAAATCCTTACGGGAGACGGCGTACGGTAGACTACGTTTGACGGTTTTAATTGAAAGGTGGAAGAGTTGGCTGTGGATGTCGGAATCAGCTGAGGCCGGGATGGTGGAAGATTGGTGAAACAAGTCAACTCAGGTCGGAGCTGGTCGAAGTGGAAATAAGGTTGCCCTGGTCGTCGGGTTGGGCAGGCGCGCGCCAGTGGGGAGGCGATGGAACTTAACGTGTGAGCTTCTCTCCACTGTTGTGACACTTTTGGATGGAATTATAGCGCCAACAAGGTCCTGCCCCGCCACCCCGCTGCACCCCTATAAGATACATCGGATGCCTCACCATATATTGGACTATCTCGACGGCGCCGAATACCAGGCTAGCGACTCCTACGATGAGCATGCGATCGGTACACAGGCAAATGGATTGAACCGTAGATTCAAGAGTTGCAGAGTCAGAGACGGGCATTGACGCATGCAAATCGGGGCGTGCTTTGCGTCGATGTCAGTCCCCAAGTCCCGTCCTGCCGCATGTATCTCCATCGCTCCACCATCCCTTCTGACGCACCTTGTAGATCAGACCACATAGAGGTAGGGACCTTCTAAACACCGAATGCACATTCATCCATCCACAACGAGATCAAGCAGTATAACCGAGACATGTGTATTGAGTGCATCGGTAACACTGGGAATGAACAACAAAACAAAAGAGGGTCAAGAAATATGTAGATATCAAGGCCCCTTCCCAACTCCCGCCCCATCATCCCCTTCTTTCCCCTTCTTCCCATTCACACCCCCAGCAGCCTCAGAAGCCTCCCCCCCAACAGGGTCAACAACAGCCTCCAAATACTCAATAGTAAAAGCCGTCACGATCCTCGCCCAATCCCTCACCGTCGGCAGATCTAGATGCTCCCCATCATCCTCGATCTTATGCCACACATGCGGAAACGGGGTCGGGATCATATGCAGGACGGGTGCCCCCTTCGCCATGAACGGCTGGTGATCATCGCCCACGTAGGCCCTGCCGAAATGCTCGTTGAGTTTGCCCGCCTCGGGCAGGAAGGGGTTCTTGGGTTTGCTTTCCAGCAGATTGAGGGCCCGCATGCGCGACTCGACCGTGGCCATGTTCTTGTAGGCCCAGTGGGTGGTCTGGAAATAGGAAGGGACGCCGGGGTCGGCACTGCCCAAAAGATCGAGAAGGACGAAGAGGTCGATTTGCACGAGGGGGTTGGCGAACCGGGAGAGGGCTGCGTAGGTCGTGGATTCCCATTCGGTGGAGAGAGATCTGTCCAGAACCAAAGATTAGTCTCTTGTCTTATACCATAGAATTTCGATAGCTCAACAATCATGGTAGGTAGCAGAAGAAAACTCACCGAGCACCATACAACGAATCCGTATCCGTCCACTCCTTGAACGCCTCCTCGCCATCCAGCAACAATATCTGCACGCCCACCTCCCTCTTAGGATCCTCCTTTCCGGATCCCTTCCCCAGTCCCTCGGCGATCCCCTCCTCATAAACCTTCTTCAAATATCCCTCCACCGTCTTCGCGACATGCATCAACACCGCACACGGCGCCGCGCTATCCGTCGCCCCAATGAACCCCTCCGGGCTGATCTTCGAATCATAATGCGCCACCAGCGTCAGCAGCGCCGCCCTACCGGGTCCTCGCTCCTTAGTCCATGGCGGTTCTCTCCTGAAGATCAGGTTCTGAAACGGAACCTGCTTGGAGCCCGAAAGCGGCGTGGTGGCCGTCGAATTCTGCCACGAGATCTCCCACTCGGACAAGTTCCGAGAAAAGAAGTCGACAAAATGTTTCTGGACTTTGGCCTGTCCGGGCGTGCCCGGGACGCGGGGGATCAGGATCGGAGCGAGGAGGCCCGCGCCATTTTTTATGTCGAAGTCGGACTCGAGCGGGCCAGGGACGGCTTGGAGTTGGGTATCGGAGAGGGCCTGGTAGGCGAGGACTGTTGGTGGGGTGATGAAGATCGAGACAGCGATGAGGAGGAGAAGGTTGAGAAGGGTTGGTAGGGAAGACATTCTTGTTGTTATTGTTGTTGGTCGTAGGGACTTTGTTCCGGCCGTGATTGTTGTTGTTGTTGTTGGCGGCGGCGACCTGGTCGCGAAACGGTAGTATTGTGTCATTTCATTTGGTTCCGTCGTTTGTTTTCCGGTCGGTTTCGGATCTTTTGGTTGGGAACCTTGTTTGGGCATTGTCTCTGAGGACACCTTAGCTGTATGCTTGGTATCCCTTGCCCGCCACCACCTTTCCTTTGTCTTCGTGACGATGTAAATCTGTATAGTTTTCCAGTCACAGGGCAATTATGGTATCGCGGTTATCGAACTTGTTAGCAGATTCGCCGGTCTGTGTAATTAAAGTTCCAGTCAATTGGTTTTCCAACAGGGGACGAAAAACACCAAGCCAGATTGCTGGGAATAAGTTGAGTCCTGCATCACGTCTGGAGGAACTTGTAACAAACAGTGTCCTTGGAGAAATGGGGGTGCATGAAGTGGTGCGAAGAGACAAGCCGCCATGACAAAGATTGGACGTAGTGCAACAGCAGCCGCCTGCTTCTAAACCCCTTCTAGACCCCCCAGATTTCCTGTCTCCTGATTGGTTGTGCATGAGCCTCCGTGCCCGGATTCGGGAACTGACGCCCGGACCCGATGCGCTGAAGTGACAACCGGATAGCGTCCGGCTTGTTTCTACCGCCGGTCCATGGCCCCGAAGCGGATAACTATCTAGGCACGGTGATATGGACAAATTCAACAGTCAGGATTCCATGATTAAAAAAGCACCATTACTTGTTTTCCCATTGCATTACTGAGCGTCAAGTGTACCACACGCTATGGTCCCAATCCGACTGCCGCTCACTCAGGAATAACATGCCATTAGGTTCCTCGTAAGCCCACTTGCGTCTGTATCATAATGAAGCGTGTAACTGTTACAAGGTGATAGAAGACGTATCGCTTAAAGCAGGTTCGATGCAAAGTTTCAGAGGGGAAATGTCTACCTCTAGTAATGCAGTTTCCATGAACTCCTATCTCAGCAACCCCATGCATAACCCTCTCCAACCCCTTGCTCCTCTAGGGTATCTCCTCTAGGGTATCATGCGGACCACAGCGTGTCGTTATTAGTATGCCTTAAGCATCTTCGTTGTCCGAGTCCCTCATTGTCCTCCTCCGCTCCATAGCCTCTTCAAATGCCAAGCGCTCCGTGAAACTGCGGGGGGTAGCACTGGCATGGTTCTTAACCAAATATGCGCGGTAGCTCCCCATATCAATAGCCTCCACGCCGCTGCGGCCATCGACACTACCGACAAAGGTGTGTACGTTTTTCATGCCAGAGATCTCGTCGTATAGTTTCGGGTTGCTGATAGGGTTCATTCGCATGGGAGTTCCCTTGTACGATCCAACTGAGTGGCCAAACAAGGCGGCCGATGGTGTGGCCGCAGGAATCTTGCGGACTGGTGCTGGCTCTATCTGCGCATTAGATCCGCTGGCTATGAAGGCCACTCTCGGGCGTTCTTCGGGTGGTATCTTGCTCGCGGCAGCGTCGTTGTCGTCGTCATCGGAATCATCTTCGGCGATGTACTTCTCTGTATCGGATTCGGCACCATTGGAGATGCCCTCTCCCTCAAAGTCAAAGAAGGCATCTTCGGGCACGTCATCCACCACCTTCCCTTTACCAAACTCATCTACTGCCGGCGACTGAGTTTGAGCGACGTTGTTGGGGGAATTTCTCGCAGTGTTTTGAGCGGTCTCAGAGATCGTAGGTAGCCGTCCAAAGGAGCTTTGAGTTGTTGGCGAGATGGGCTTTTTCTTCGGTTTCATCGAGAGGAATTCTTCGTCGTCAGAACTGTCGTCGTCATCCTCCTCCCGTTGCAACTCTTCCAATGGGGACCCAAGACTCCGGTTGCCATTGGACTGTTGGGTTACAACATGGTGTGCGAGAGGGGAAGATTTGGTCTCGACTCTGGGTTTTGTAAAGTTATCTGCTTGAGGATGCAGCTGTTGGGGACGCTGACTGTCTTGCGGCTTTCCTCCGGAAAACTGCCCTGATGGCTGGTCTTGCCGCACGGCGCTATCCTCGTGCTTTCCGCCGTTCATCTTGGGCGTCTCTTCCAGCTCCGAGTTCACCTCTGTCCAAGTTCCGGCATCTAGGGGGGCGTTCCGAGAGAGCGCGCGAAGTGCTTGCGTGGACGAGACTTTCTTAGGCCTCGGCAGCGCGTCCTCCTCGCCTTCAACATCAAGCAACGACATTCCGGTATACGAGGGTGGTTCGTTTATCGAGGGTATGATGGGCGCTGCGGCCTCCAGTTCAGGAGGAGGGGGAGGAGGAAGAGGAGTCTGCGCCCCATCTGCCCCATCATCCCCACTTAGTAGGGGCGGGACCGTAACGGAAGAAGTGTTCTGCGGAGAAGTCGATGGAAAGACCTCCTCACCCGCAAATTCGAAACGCACCCGGCGCGGGCTACCCTTGGTCGAACTCGAAGAACGGCGCAAAGCACTCCTTCGCACTTTCGAGTCGCTTCCAGAAACCGACGACTCAACTGACGATGAGGATCGATCGGTCATCCGTCTGACCGGGGTCGGGCGGATCTCAAGCTTCAACATGGCCTCTGGCTCCTTGATGTCTTCCACTTTCTTCACATTATCTTGAGACAAGGGAAGCGGCAGGGGCGTGGGTACTGGAGACTCCGGGGGTGACTGCAGGCCGCGGTGGGTGCTATCGAGCAGGGGCAGGTATCTAGGAGTGAACAAGCCTTGGAATTCTCTCTCGCGCTCATGGGGGCTTCTTGGGCCTTCCTTCGGGGTGCCGGATGTATGGTATAAAACGGGCGGAGGCGACTTGCGGACGTCTCTGGGAAGACGTTCACTGTCGAGGATCTTGTTGTTGGTTGGCGATTGAGGTCGAGGACTTTCAGGGTCGCGGGCGTCGCGGGCCATCAAGGTGAGGGCCGGGTACTTGTGCATGGACTCGGCCATGACTCGGGAGACCTCGGACGAAACGTGGACTGGGTAGTTTTTCAGACAGTCGTCCATGTACCGGTGAAACTCGGCAAGCATGTCGCGCTGGTAAGCAGCGACTTTGCCGTCAAGGTCGGCGAGCTTTTGGTGCAGATCTGAGATAAGCCTCGCGGTGTCGTCCATTGTTGCGGGTGCTGGTGCTGGTGCGTCTGCTGTTGCGTCTGCGGGTGGTGCAATTGCGGGGGAAGGCGATGCCGGCCGTTCAGGTTCAACACTGTGCGTGACCAAACGGGTAGGCGGCGAGAGGGCAGCCATTCATGGTCCGTTGGAGACGGCTATTGTTCTGGAATCGTTGGGCTGCAGCTTCCAAGAATAGCGGCGAACCGTTCGAGGGAGGCAAAGGCGATCAAAGAAAAGAAGGGCCGGATCTGGCAGCGATCTGGTTGGACGGTTGGTACGGAGGTACGGCAAGTGTTGACTGATAGAGTTTTTGATAGGCTTGGGGGGCGAGTGGCCTTTTTGCCTGGTGGTTGGAGACGGTGATTCTTGCGGTTTGACGGATTCGTAGTGTGTAGTGTCGCAGAGGCAGTTCCGGGTCAATTCTTGGGAAGTAATTGGTTGCAGGAGGAACTTGGTCATCGGGGGACAGTGGGAGACGGTGGAGGTGAGGTGGCCGCTGAGCACAAAGAGAAAGTGGAAAACACTGGTGGTGGAGGTGGAGCGTGGAGCGTGGAGCGTGGAGGTGGTGGAATTGCCAGCTTTTGTTCCAGAACATGGGAGGCATGCCGGCTGCCGGATGAAGGCGGTGAGAAGTTTTGATAACGAGCAGCTGGCGATGTCATGCCCGGAACTCGGTCCTTTCCATACCTAGGTGCAGTGCCAGCGGGAGTGTCCAGAAAGGGGAAAAGCGGCGGAAAAAAGGACCTCGATCACCGCATGCCTGCCTTTAATTGTCCACCCGCCTGATGTGAGCCAGGCTTGTCAGGAACCATGAAAGCCATGGAACGGTACCTGACCATTTGGGTGCTTACACGGTAGCTGCCGCTTATTAGCGGTCATCAGCGGCCCAGATGGTACCCCCATATCTGATCTTTATACTAGCAGGTGCGATAAACTCTTGGTGGATGTCTTCAACCTCCGTCCAGGCAACTCCTTCCTCCATATGCGGTAAATTATGCACATCTTCATCTCTTTGTGTATCACGAGGACATAATGTGCCAATGAACTACCCAGGCAGCCAGGATGTGATACGGACATGACAGAAGGCATTCTAAAACTCAACCCAGCCCCAGGTACTTCAACTTTTACATGAACTCGAAAACTCACAGTTGACGAGCAATGCGTAAGACGGACCCGGAGCTACAGCCGCCCACCGGCCCGCAACCAACCCGACGGGATAAGACGTACCTATCTTTCGGCCAGGGTATCGTCGATCTGAGACCTCCCGCTGAGACCTGCCCTGGATGCGGATCATTGATGGTAGCAGTGGGTGGGTGTGGTGACCGGTTCTGCCACACATTCCGAGTTCCCGTCAAGCTGTGAGTGAGAGAGTGACAGTCAGATATGCCAAGGTGACGCATGCAACGGGAGTACCTATCAAACGTGCCAATGTACAGGTATGTACGTACCGCTGCAATGCAGGGCTCTTAACAGGCAGATATCAAATTATCGACTGTATCAACATCAGCACGATTGTGGGGAAAACACTCCCAAATTAAGGGATGAGCAAACAATTAAGTCCAAAGATCAGATCCGGACATCCTCCACGTCAGATATGAGACAGGATAAACCTCAATGATGCTGTTTGCCAGGTTGTGTTGGGAATCGCTCTGGCGGGATGATGTCAGGCGGGAGGGTTGTACGGAGTGGTGATAATCCTCTGGTAGTGGGAAACTGTTAAGACCATAGCAAACGTCCAAGCAGAGAGGCACATGTTTCCGAATGTCAACAAACACTTTCACATATCACAAAAAGGACGGGAATCATTACGGCATCGTCCTTGACCGGTCGGGTATGCCTCATCGTGATGCAGGCTAATGTCACCTCCATACGCAAAGCTCAATTGGCCGACCACTCGGGTATTTCCCCAAGTCGGATGAGGTCCCCTTTCCCATACCATTTCCGAGAGCCGCAGTCACTTACCTGTCTTGTCGGAACGGACACTGGGTTGAGTTCAGTGAGCGCCTTGTCGTGGTGAGATATTCCGACCGGTTGATGTTTCTCGAGCTGGATCATGCAAAGCCGGGTCAAGTTATTCAATGTTAGTGCGACGCGAATGGTGAGCAACAAGCTCTTAGCTTTTTTTTTCTTTGTTCTTCTAACTACCTGAGCTAGCCTATGTAAACAACATCATGTTGCTGGGCAATGCTTCATCAAGGAGACACCCCCGTTGGCATCTACCCAAGTCCCTAGCCATTGATATAAAACATTGTCATTTGACCAAGTGCCGAGTCACTCATTGTACATTTCCTTTCGAATCAGTTCATCCATCAACAAACCAACATGTGGTAATCCTCATTGCAGTATCTCTTAACATCCGTTTTGGTTGACGAAGGGTATCTTCCTTGGACAGGAGTTGACGTATTATAGCAAAATCGTACAGTTAGCAAGCGAGTTATCCTTTTTCTTTTCCCTTTTCTCCGTACTTCAAGTTTGAATATAATTGCCAAATCTTAGGTCTCACTGTTAACGAAGCGAACTGAAGGCAACCGGAACCAAGTTTTTTTTTATCTTTGTGAAAATTCGCTTGTCTGCGGAATGGCGAAGAGCAATCTTTTCTACCAATTCTTTCTTGTCCAAATCCTCCATTCTCTTCACACCCAGGTACCGCCCGTCACAGCACGAGCGAAGCGGAACATATCCTCCAGCGAAGCCGTAACAGGACCGAACTTGGTGCTGAGAGGATATAAGAATTTCCTACAAGAGGAAGACGTAGCCGGAGCAGTGGCTTTATTAGCCAGAACCCTGTTTCAGGGAGAAGCCCGGTTCTGTAGGGACGGATGTCGTGGGCGATCCTTTGGCAGCTTCTTCCAATGTGCTTGCCGAGTCGGCCATATCGCTTTCAACACCTTCCCTTAGAGAGTCACTTCGTATTCGATGGTGCCTTGCTCGGCCTCTGATTCCAAAACAGCAGAAGCAGGAGAAGTGATAAGGGAAACCTCGTCGGCAGCTTCGTCTCCTTTGTTGCCATGGCCGATTGTGGTGCTGACCGGTATTTCGAGCACCGGTTGAAAGCGGCTGTCGAGGTTATTGAGCAAGACCCTGATCTTTTTCTGAGCTGAGGTCAAAGCCTTGAGGACGTTGTGGTCCTCGATGAGGGTTATGTAGTCATCGGACACCTCGCGGATTGCCTCTTCTACTTTAGACTTGATATTTTGTTGAAGCTTATCGAGCAGGTCCTCAAGGCTGTCCTGAGCAGCACCGACTGCTGAGTCGAACATTGATTTTTTCTCGCTTCGCACTTGTTCGGCCATGTAGCGCTTCATACGCTCAAACGAACCAGTACCTTTTCGTGGGGCGCAATGACTTGTCAGCGAAATCTATTCGTTTCGTCCCAGTATCAACGGTTTACGTACCACTCTCTGATTTGCAAAGCATATACGCTCTCTGCATGGCTTTCTGGACTGCTGGCTTGAAAGACCGATTCGCCTTTTTTTGATCATCCAACTTGATAAGCTTATTGAATTTCACAGCCTTTCGCAACGAGTCCGCCTGGTTCTTGACTCGGTAGCTCACCATTTCGTATGGCTCAGAGTTCTTCAGGTGTGGACGAGTGTGCATCTGATCTTGAAACTCAGAAAGATATTGGGACAGATCCTGCCCCAACGCATCGATGATATCAGGAATTGTGCGGGAGAAGGCGCGTTCCCACGGCAGAGCAATATGGTTCAATAACGGCCGGCATAGGTCTGTGGCAGGTCAGAAAGTCGGCTCCATAGTGTACACATGAACAGGCTACTATCGGACTTTGTATTGGAACTTGCCTTCATTGAAGTCCTTTGTGCCAGACAATCCCTCGTACGCGCCACTACTACGCTGTTAGTGACATATAAAAAAAGCAAGAACCAAGTCACTTGAATTCACATACTCTCGCACGCAAATAGCTCGATACGTGGAAAAGGGAATACCGCCATCACGCTTTGGCTTTCCCCATGATTTTGCTATTCCAGGCGCATCCTTGGATGCGCGAGTAGCAGCTGAGGCGAAATTGTCGTTCAAGGCATCCTGTAGCGCAAGGTCGCATCTGTCGACTGCCTTGACAACAGCGGAATGCGTTTTCTAATGCTTGATGTTACGATCAATACAAACCATACAGATTTATGTACCGCTGAAACTGAAATGATATGGTGGCATCTTGCTTGTTGAGGGGAGATAAATAGGCAACGTACCAGAGACAGCTCCTTCAAAGATTTCTCTAGGAAAGCAAGTTCTTCGTCCTTCAAGTCCTTTGCCAGGTCAAGTGGTTTGTCAGCAGTGAGAACCTGAACCATTAGCTGGGAGACAAGGCTATGCAGATTCGTAAATACCAGTGGCAAGTATCGGTGCGTGTATTGGCGACTGTTCTTTGGGCATGCTGTTGCAAAGCTGTGATCTCCGTCTCCTCAAGGGAAAGGTATCCGGTACGGTCGGGCTCGTCATTTCTGAGCATGCCGGACATTCTCTGGTAAGCACGGCCCGAGACGCAAAACACAGGGAGCCTGGCAGCCGATCGCTTCGATAATCTCTGCGCGTATGAGTTGTCGTGTCCGCCTTCACCTTGACCGGAAAGACTCTCCTCATCAAGCCTAAATTGAGTTAGCTTTGCTGGCCTGTCATGTTTGATTTATTCTTGACTGGGGTGTCTCTCATACTCTTTAAGTCCTTCGGCAAACTGTTGCCGGATCACTGGCCGCGAGTACTGGTTGCGATACTGAATACAAGCGCTCTTGATACCAGATTTGAGACCCCCAATATCAAACCTTGCCTTGTCAAGATCCTCACGTAGAGATTTGGCTTTTTCTTGCAGATCACTCTTCTCGGCACGAATAGCTTTTTTCTCTGCTCGAAGAGACGCTAGCCGCCGGATTGCTTCCTCCCTAGAATCAACCCTTTTCTCCTGGCGCTCGGCGCTATCATCGAGACTGTCTTCCTCGGAAGATGAGGTATTCGTGTTGTCATCAAGGGTTTCATTGTCCTGGGACTCAAGTGAGAGCTCCAGTTGCTCGACATCTTCTTCACACTTATCAACAAGGCCACTGAGGTCCGCAATGCGCTTATTGACCAGAGAAGACTCCATGATCAATCGCTGCTCGGTTTTCTCCAGCGTAGCCATGGTCATGCAATCCTGACGTATCGAATGGCCCATCGGCATGGATCTCAAAGCCTCCGTGACAGAGATGTCATCTGTCTTGGTACAAACCACAGTTATAGCTGAGTAGAGTCCGTCGAACTGTAATTGTCTCTTGAAAGACATCCCGAGGAGATTTTGTGCGACTTTGTCATCAACAATCCGCGTGATAGGGGCAACAACCCATAGACCTGTGCATTGTTGCAAGTACCTGGCAGCCACTGCGGATCTGGCGGCATTAGAATCATGCAGACCAGGCTGTCCCTTCATTAGCAGCAATTCTCAACATAACGAATAGATGGCGATGCTCACCAAGTCAACCAAGACCATTCCTGGTTCCAAGATGCGTGATCTAACAAAGACCCGTACGAACTTGACCAAGGGCCAGAACTCCATCCGGTCGCTGTTGTTCTTATGATCCCAAATTCGGTCCTTGGAGTCGATGTACTCCCGCAAAAGTTCCGTAAATGCGCTGCTTGTTGGTGCAGTTATCACCTTCACGGTACCAAGCACTTGCTTTACGGGGGCCTGGTGTGCCAGGGCTTCCGGAGAGAAACCATGCTTTGCAACATCCTCTTTACTCAACTGCGGGTAAACAGATCTAATCTTGTCGTAGGCAATAGCAGCTCGAGGCTCGCTGCCCAATTGTTCTGCTCCAACAAGATCGCCGTCAGGTTCTCTGAGATCCCCGCGCAGAGCATGAAGTTCTTGGATCCAGTCATTCGCATGAATGAAGTGGATTTCAGCCCTATAGGCCGCTTGCTCATCCTCAGTTTCATTGAATTGGATTTCGGTGATAGTGGCAGTGCATGCGCGCATGCCATTTGTCGGCACCAGGTTCTCCTCGTCTAGAACAGCATTAATCATGGAGCTCTTTCCGGCACCGGTGCTACCGACAACACCGACAACTGTTCTTTGCTTGCGGGACTGTGCCAGGAGCTCATCAGCCTGCTTGACCCACTTCGCAACTTCCTCAACGCTAGTTGCGTCAGCAAAAGCAGATCTAATTTCTCGAAGAACATCGTTCCCTGTTTCCAGGGCAGCCTCAAGCCTCACGATTGAAGTCTCAGATATGAGCTGCTGGAGTGACGCGAGTTTCCTCATGTGTTCGTCAAGGCTGTTCCGTTTGCCATCGCGAGTCTCCGTAGTTGGAACCCGAGCAGTACGCGACGTCGAAAAAGCTCTCAGCCAGGATGTGGTAGAACGCTGAGGGCTTGGAGACAGGTTCACTCGGGCCACTAGACATCATACAAATAATCCATTAGTCCTCGTCTCCGGACCAACCAAGAGTAGATGAATAGGATTGGGTATCAATGTAGAATGGCAAAAGGCTCACCGGAAGGAAAGAGTGCAGTCCTTCTGAGTGGACAAATTCGTATCATGATAGGAGCACGATATCTCATACTTTGATGGATCGTGTTGTTGCTATGGTGGTGAAGACAACCCGTGTTTGGGTACCCAATAGTGCAGAACGAAAGTGTGAATGTGGCTAATGTTTAATTGACTGGTGACAACTCTCCAAGAGGCAGAGGTGCCGGCTGATATGGTGTCAGGAAGCGGGAGGGAGAGGGGTTCAGGAGCAAACAAACGAGAGGGCAACAGTAAGTTAGAAGGTCCTTCGTTTGAAGAGGAAGCGTTTGTTCACGGGTACGCTCAGACGAATCGCCGCGAGAATCTGCCACACAACTCTCGTTGTTCACAATGAAAGAGCTTCTGCATGTCCCTAGCGCAGAGCAAACTGGTGAGAACAGATTATGGAGTGGATTATGGAGTGAGATGGCGTTTGGTCTTGCTAGTCGCTCACTACCTCCAAACATCTGAAAGGCCTGGTTAGCCTAGAATACGAAAACAACAGATACCCAAGACGATGGACTACAAAGGACAAACCTGGGAAATCCCTTCTATGGCCAGTGTGCATCCTAGCCGGTTCTCCAAGATGCTGAGCTATGTATCAAAGCATTCAGGCGGGAGGAAATGGGATTATGGGGCAGTCATGAGAAGGATGCTAGTAGCAGACCTAGGTAAGTCCAAAGAAATTGAGGAGAACTATGTAACCTCAAAGGTTATCAGAGAAATAAAGCAGCTCATCGAAAGGAGTGAGATGTGTATAAACACCTTGACAGCGTCTTCACGAACAATCTCCAGAAGGACTCCTGCCTCTACCCTAGACCTAGAGACACGATAACCTCGGTGGGACAGGCCCCTCAGCCTGCAAAAGTTTGGCATATCACCAGGAATGATTCTGTAGAAAACATTCTCTGCGTCATAAATATCGGGGCAAAGAAAGGGGAGCGGCGTCGGTCTTCCTATACTGGCGCCGATAGTAGACTGTGAGACGTTTGCTGTCTTGTCTGGTCTGGTCGGACTGGGTGCCTAAACAACGAGAAGAAATAAGGTTTGAAGCTAAGGCCTCTTCTAGGGAAAGAAATACTGTTGTCGCCATTTCGGCCTCGAAGGAAACAAAGTTTGATATCATGGCGGTAGGCCTTTACCTTAACTTGCTGAATCTGTTCGTGAGTGACCCAATATGTGTCGACGTTGGAGGAGTTGAATGCAGCTCAAGTGCCCAGGAAGGTGCCTGGCTCGCTCCACCACAGAATTATGACCCACAGTTTTCAGAGCTTAGGACTTGACCGCCTTCCTAATCTGGCTCGAGTCTGGATTGTCAGTCGCGCCAACTGCTGCCGCGGCGTCGTCCCCCAAATTCCCAAGGGAAACTCATGACTGCACTGCACATTACAGTACCAAACACCCAACAACACCGAGTTACCGCTTTCTTTCTCTGCTGCCTCCTTCCCAACTCGACCGTTCCATGACCTCGAGCACATATCTGCGACGCCAAATCACATCACATCTACCGGAAGGTCAATTCTATAGCTCCGTAACTAGATAAAGCCCAGACTCCGTTTCATCGGAAACCTTTGGGGATCCTGTCTCTACCATTCGGTTTCTTCTTCCGAACCAACCACCACCCTTTTCCAAACAAGAACCCATTCGCATCGCAACAGAAAACGCGACGACCCGACGAAAATGTCCACGATAACCCCCAACGCTCTTCAGAGCTCGGTGCCACCGACCATCCCCCTGCCCTTCAACGGCAACCAGCCCGAGAAGATCCGCCTCTACCCGCTATCGAACTACACATTTGGCGTCAAAGAGACGCAACCGGAAGAGGACCCCTCGGTGCTGGCGCGCCTGAAGCGGCTCGAGGAGCACTACAGCGCGCACGGGATGCGGCGCACGTGCGAGGGCATCCTGGTGTGCCACGAGCACAACCACCCGCACATTCTGATGCTGCAGATCGCCAACGCCTTCTTTAAGTTACCGGGTGACTATCTCAGGCCGGAGGACGACGAGATTGAGGGGTTCAAGCAGCGGCTGGACGAGCGGCTGGCGCCCGTGGGCAGCCTCGGCGAAGGCGAGAAGGCGGGCGACTGGCAGGTGGGCGACTGCCTCGCGCAGTGGTGGAGGCCCAACTTTGAGACGTTCATGTACCCCTTTGTGCCGGCCCATGTGACGAGGCCGAAGGAGTGCAAGAAGCTTTACTTTATTCAGTTACCCAAGTCAAGTATGTTCGCCCGCCATTTTCTAAAATTTATTGCCCTTGGTCACTTTCTTCTGTTGTGCAACAGACGCGTGCTAACCTCCCGCTTTTCTTTAACTACAGAGGTCCTCAGCGTGCCAAAGAACATGAAGCTCCTAGCCGTCCCCCTTTTCGAGCTCTACGATAACACAGCCAGATACGGCCCGCAGCTTTCCGCCATTCCCCATCTGCTTAGCCGCTACAACTTTGAGTTCGTCGACGAGAACGGCGAGGTGGTGGCTGTCACTCCCGGTGATGGAGACGGCTACGTGCCCAAGACCAAGATCCTGGCGAGCGGCGACGATGTGGACATGAAGACGGAAGAAGGCAACGGTCTTTAGAGTATGTCCGTTTCTTTCTTTTGAAATAACACATGGATGAGGCGAAGGCGAAGACAAGGCTTGTGCAAGCCACAACAAAGACCATCAACATTATTAAGACGGAAAGAGAGGACAATTGGCTGTCACGGCATCGCTCAAATTACAAGTTACTTGGTTCACGTCCGTACTAAGGATAATTGTGAGGAATTAAGGATACAAGTGTATAGACTACAGGAGGAGCAGAGCAGCCATGTCTGCACAACCAGGAGCATGTTTTCGTTCCTCCATTGTTCTGATTATACTGAAGAGACGGCGGAATATACTGAGAAAGGACAAATGGGTCAAAGGCGACTACTAGAGATGGACGAAGGAGTGAGGTTAGGCAACAACACTGGCTGATTGAGAACTGGGTTGGGATAAAGCGTTCTGTCAGAACAAACAGAGAGAACTCCTTTTGCTCCTTGGTATCAATACCAGGTTCTAAAGAAGACGAAGCTCAATCATCTTTTTTTTGGTGTTATCACATCCTCACATACTACTGCTTTTCCTTTCTCCCTGAATGGTGGCTACTATGTTGCGCCTGTGCTTGTGAGCGCGGAACTCGAGATACCAGATGCCTTGCCATGTGCCAGTGGCCTATATGGGTGTACATTTTTTGTCAGTACTTTTTAAGTTTCTTAGAACTATATCCGGATCAAGGCGTGAACACGGAGTAAGGTAGACATACCAGCTTCCCGTTCTTGATGGGAATCGTCACACTGGTGCCAATCAATGAACTTTTCACATGGGCTGGTAGATCGTCCGGCCCTTCGTCGCTGTGGCGGTACAGATCGGGGTTCTTGTCCGTGGCCTCGGGCACGATGCGGTCGAGGGCGTCGCTCATGTCCAGCCTCACATCCTATATGACGATGACAACACACAGAAAGTTAGACCCAGAAGGTGTAAGTATGGGATGCCTTTTTTCTTCTGCGAACTCTAACGTAGCTACCAGCTTTATACAGCCAGCGTGTATGAGCTGAGCTGAGCTGAGCTATAGCTTAAAAATCATCAAAAAAAAAAACATCAATCAGTAGTGTAGGTACGCACCGGATCCCAGTTCTCATTCAAACTCAACGCACAGCTCGTGTGCTGGATGAACAAATTCAGCAAGCCCACTTTATACTGCTTGATCTCGGGGACTTCGTTCAAGACAATGTCCGTGATGAGGTAAGATCCGCGGGATTGAGCGGGCAGTGAGAAAGTCTTTTGCGACCACGACATTGTTGATTGTAGTTGCTGCTGGCAATATGGAAGCTGCTGCTGACTCTCGGGCGATGACGTCGTGTTCGATGGAGCTAAGAGGGAGGATAGGAGAGAAAAAGGCAAAACCAAAAGTTTGAGTGGAGCAGTCCACAGGTAATGGAAACTGCCGGGAAAGAAGGCGATGAGGAGGACGAGGAAAAGGAGGATGGTGGTGTTTTGGGAGATTTGAGGGGCGTTGGTCGTTCGTGGAGGCATCAGATGAGACAAGAGTAAGATATCGAGGTATCGAGGTGGAGGTAATAAAAGCTCGATTTTGGGTACAGGTACCATGGGAAGCTGTCACGGTAGTATGAAGAACTAGGAAGCTCTCTGTTTAGGTAAGGTAATGTACTGTATAATGTAATGTGGTGTATGAATGTAGGTAGGTCGGCGACCCCGGGGGGGGGGGGGGGGGGGGGTAAGAGTGGAAAGGCGGGAAGGTCGGGATGGCGGGGCGGGGCGGGGCGGGGAGCAGTTGGGTAATGAAAAGTGGAGGGTAGGCGTCTAGAGAAAGTAAATCTCGAGGTGTGTTCGAATTCCGTCTCGCTTCCATTCCTTCGTGGAAGACGAACGATCAAGTATAACGAAGGAGGACCGCTCGGAGTTTCAGCTGGTCGCTTTTAGGGTTCAACGTCATGGCTCTGTTGTGCTGCCCTTCAGTTGTTGGTGTTACACTCGAGCCCTATTTGCGGGGCAGTGAGACGAAGTCCATATGAGAATGTGGGTGTAAGAGCTTCAGTTCGGATCACGCAGTTCACGATATGATGGCTTCTTCAGATGATGTTGCAGTTGTCCAATGTGTGCCCCATATTCTCTCAGAGAGACTGGAAACGATCCATGATGTATCAAGTCTACCGAATCATGGTCGAGGGGACGGAACATATATAGACATGGCTTCTTTCTGAGACTTGCTGTTGCATGGTGACTTTGCTTCTAACAGGTAATCACCAGACCCAGTCATCTGAGCATACCCGATGCTTCATGCTATCGCAGACATTCTCACCGCTTTCATCTTTTGTGTGAACAGAGTCTGGACCATCCATCAGTATCGTGACAACTTGCCAACGCACCTAGCGTGGTATCTTGGTGATTTTATGAGTAGTCATCCTCCTCCCCCAGGCCAAGCGTTCACCTTCAGGTACACCTTGCAGCGGATGATGGACGCCGGGTTCCATTGCCGTCCGTGAGCGGGACGTCCCGATAAAGGGAAGTTTCGTCAACTTCGGCTGTCTGTTTGTGGGTTTCAAAACCCCAGGTAATCGGATATCAATGAACACGTCTTCCGACTTCTACCTAGGTAAAGCTTACGTGTCGATTTGATCACCCTCACCGCCGGTATCGTGATTCCATCCAAATCAAACATTTCAAAAAGGCGTATCAGACGAAGAATCGTGCTTCGTGCCCTGACATATCGAGGTTGCTGTCGTCACGACTCTGGTCCGCTAGCGCGTTCGAAACAGTGGGCGGCTTTGCAACGTGGGAACGCTGTGGAAGCCTGTAAGTGGACGGCAAGCGGCAAAGAGGTCATTGGTGGGGCACAGCTCCGACTTTCGGGTGGGGATCAGCAGGGATGCCAGCGACGGCCGTTAGAAAAGGACATGGGACCGGCCACCTGCTTCCGCTACGGATGCTGCGGATTTGTCAGCTATCCGGGTACCGCGCTATGAGTGCATTGGATAGTCGCCATTGGGCCAATTCCTGCTGTGACATGCGCCAGAGAAAGCTGCATCCAGCGAGACGAGCCAGCAGGCAAGCAGCAGCCAAAGGAAAGCGAAAACTGAAGTCACGAACTGCGGAAGGTGCAAGGCTTTCTCTTTCTCTTTTCTTTCCGACTCCGAATCTCTGCATCTTCTCGGCCATCTGTTGTCTGTTCTGCCTAGCGGAGGCACCTAGTGTAAACAGCCGAGCTTCAGACGGATTGCTGTTGCCTTCGATCCGACAGACGACAACTTCTTCCTTTTCCATCTTATCTTTTTTCTCAAGGGTTCCTCTCTTGATTACCGAGCAAGTCGCCGCCGCACTTGGAGAGACGACGCACGGCCGGCAGAACTACACACTACCGGTACACCTACCTCTACATACAGACCTTGACGAGCATCGTGTTATATACCATATCCACGGCGACTGTGACTCCGTTTGGACAACTTGAAAGGTCTTTCAGCGTGTGACAACCGACGAGAACCGAACCGCGACTTACACACCTCGCCGCATAACTTTCAACTTCCAATTCGCATCTTGTCGAGCGCAAAGAACCTGCAAAACCTACAACCTTTCCCCCGTGCTATGACGCGTTTGGACTTTCCCACGAGGGTATAGTTGCGCCAATGGGGCTCGAATATATAGGCGACGACGGCTTCGCCTCGCAGAGTGTTCTTTTCCATGGGAGCGGCTCGATCACCGGTTATCGCCCTTCCATTTTCGACATGGGTAGTGGTTATCTTGCGGCGTCCACGGATTTCAAACAGCCGCTATGCGGTAACGAGGAGGGATGGGGACCCATGAGTCCCTTTCGATATGACTTCACGCCGTGCTTTATCGACGTGTGGGTGGCTTCGGTTGCGGCCTTTGGTCTGGTTGCCGGATCTGCCGCGGTATGGTGGTTAGCAAAGAGGAAGACACCAACTCCAGTGGCCAAGGACTGGCATTTCTGGTTGAAGCAGGTACGTTGCAAACTGTCAAGCAAGACAGCAAGCCCGACACATGTCTAACATTCGTCGGAAAAGGTACTCCTAGGTTTCATTATTACCGATGTTGCCGTCCAGCTGGCGATTCAGATCGTCAGCTACCCAAGATCTGGTATGGCGATTTCAGAATTTGGACCACCGCCGGAACCATTTTCTCGCTCTTCGTCATCTTCGCCATCCAGTGGCTCGAGCACTCGCGCCTCCGCAATGCCAACGGCGTCGTCCTCTTCTACTGGCTGTTCCTCCTCATCGCCCTTGCAGTCAAGCTCAGGTCCCTCATTTCTCAGCAAATCTACGTCAAGAACGAGGCCTACTTCATCACCTACTGCATCGGCTTCGGTCTCTCCGTGGCCGAGTTCGGTTTCGAGTGGTTGTGGCCCAAGAAGGATACTACATATGAGGCCCTGATCGACGAGCCAGAATGCCCGGTGGACTATGCGACCGTCTTCTCCAGACTGACTTTCTCGTGGATGACTCCCTTGATGAAGCATGGCTACGCCCAATACCTGACCGAGGAGGATCTTTGGGGACTGGCAAAGAGCGATACGACCAAGGCTACAGGTGGAGCGTTTGCCAAGGCATGGGACCATGAGTTGAACAACAGGAAGAAGCCCTCCCTGTGGCTCGCCCTTTTCCGTGCTTACGGCGGTCCCTACATCCTTGCTGCCGTCTTCAAGATTGGAAACGATCTTTCGGCTTTCGCGCAGCCCCAGCTTCTTAGGTTCCTGATCAGCTTTATTGACTCTTACCGTGATGGACAGGAGCACCAACCCGTGATCAAGGGTATTGCCATCTCCCTCGCCATGTTTGCAGTTGCCACTTTCCAGACCACCATGATCCACCAGTACTTCCAGCTCGCTTTTGAGACTGGCATGAGGATCAAGGGTGGATTGACTTCGTCCATCTATAGAAAGGCGCTCAAGCTGTCGAACGAAGGCCGTGCCAGCAAGTCGACCGGAGACATCGTCAACTACATGGCTGTCGATGCTCAGCGTCTCCAGGACTTGACCCAATTCGCCCAGCAGGCGTGGTCTGCCCCGTTTCAGATCACCCTCTGCATGCTTTCCCTTTACCAGCTTGTTGGATGGTCCATGCTTGCTGGTATTGGAGTTATGATCATCATGATTCCCATCAACGGCATGATCGCAAAGTTCATGAAGAACCTACAAAAGCAGCAGATGAAGAACAAGGACGCCAGAAGCCGTCTCATTGCTGAGATTGTCAACAATATGAAGAGCATCAAGTTGTATGCATGGGGCACGGCCTTCATGAACAAGCTGAACTACATCCGTAACGACCAGGAGCTCAAGAACCTGCGCAAGATTGGTGCTGGCCAGGCTGTCGCCAACTTCACCTGGTCTACCACCCCTTCCTTGTATCATGCTCGACCTTTGCCGTCTTTGTCTGGACCCAGGACAGGCCTCTGACGACCGACATCGTCTTCCCTTGTCTTGCCTTGTTCAACTTGCTTACTTTCCCTCTTGCGGTTCTTCCCATGGTCATCACGTCTATCATTGAGGCTAGTGTCGCTGTCGGTCGTCTTACCTCCTACCTCATCGCTGAGGAGATTCAGCCTGATGCTATCATCGTCAAGCCTCCTCCCGAGGAGCTTGGAGAAGAGACGGTTGTCATCCGTGACGGTACTTTCTCCTGGAACCGCCACGAGAATAAGACTGTTCTTACCGATATTAACTTCCGCGCACACAAGGGTGAGTTGTCCTGCATCGTGGGCCGTGTCGGTGCAGGCAAGAGTTCTTTCTTGCAGAGCATCCTGGGCGATCTGTGGAAGATCAAGGGTGAAGTCGAGGTTCACGGAAATGTTGCGTATGTTGCCCAGAACCCTTGGATTATGAATGCTACGGTCCGGGAAAACATTGTCTTCGGTTACAGGTTCGACGCCGAGTTTTACGACAAGACGGTTAAGGCCTGCGCTCTCATTGACGACTTTGCTCAGCTTCCTGACGGAGACGAGACGGTTGTTGGAGAACGTGGTATCTCTCTCAGTGGTGGCCAGAAGGCTCGCGTGGCTTTGGCCAGAGCCGTCTACGCTAGGGCTGACATCTACTTGCTGGATGATTGTCTTTCGGCTGTTGACTCCCACGTTGGACGTCACATCATCAACAATGTCCTCGGTCCCAAGGGTCTTCTTGCCTCCAAGACCAGAGTTTTGGCCACCAACTCCATCCCTGTCCTGGTTCAGTCCGATTACATCTGCTTGCTTAGCGACGGCGAGATTGTCGAGAAGGGAACTTACCGTCAGCTCATGGCCATGAAGGGCCTTGTTTCCGAAGTTATCAAGTCTGCCGGTCAAAACGATTCTGGTTCCAGCTCACCGAGTGGTTCCTCCCCTGGTGGCAGCGACAGCGAGACCTCCACGGTGATCGAGGCAGAATCTAGCCAGGAGAAGGACGAAATGGAAGCAGAGCAAGAAGGTCTCACCACACTTCAGGCCATTAAACCTGGTCCCGGAAGTTCGTCGGCTGCTGGAAAGAGGAGAACCGGAAGCATGGGTACTCTGCGTCGTGCCAGTACTGCAAGCTTCAGGGGTCCCAGAGGCAAGCTCGGCGACGAGGAAGCTCCGCAGAGCAAGACAAAGCAGGCTAAAGAACACTCCGAGCAAGGCAAGGTCAAGTGGTCAGGTAAGTTATGTCTTTCTCCTGCGGTTCGGATAACATCTCATGCTGATCATTGATACAGTCTACGGCGAATACGCCAAGACAAGCAACCTTGGCGCTGTTGCATTCTACCTATTTACTCTCGTTGCTGCCCAAACCGCCTCGATTGGTAAGTCATGCTTTCTCTTGCTGCCCCATTTTAATGCTCTCGTGTGTCGTTGGTCTGGGTAGAAGATACCATCCATAGTACCTCTGGTCTGCGCGGACCGCTCCGGCTCATCCTTGTCTTGTTGCGCCTGCTCGGTCCAAACTCTCTTTGTATTCCCTCGTCGTTCTCTTGACAAGTGTAGGTCTAACACAACATTTCGTATAGCTGGTGGCATTTGGTTGAAGAGCTGGTCCGACAAGAACACTAAAGCCGGCGGCAACCCCCAAGTCGGCAAGTACCTCGGTATCTACTTCCTGTTCGGTGTCGGCGCGGCAGGTCTTACTGTTCTGCAAACTCTTGTTCTCTGGATCTTCTGCTCCATCGAGGTAAGCCCCCGTCAGACGTTAGTAACTGTTGTAAGTATACTCACGCGTGGCGAAATCAGGCATCCCGAAAGCTGCATGAGAGAATGGCAACAGCTATCTTCAGGTCACCGATGTCCTTTTTCGATGTCACACCAGCCGGCCGAATTCTGAACCGATTTTCCAGGTAAGCCAGAGTTCTCCGTGTTCCTTCTTTCCCGGCCCGTTCAGTTCCCGGTGTCGTACGGGATGTTATGCAGTGTGAGGTGGACATGAACCGAGGCTGTATCTGGCTGGATACAAGTATCAACCTTCTTCCCCACTCATTGCCCGTCACACCTGACTGCTGGGTTTGCACCGAGCAGTATGCGGTGCTCTCAAGCTAGTAAGATGCAATATGCTGACTTCGCCTTCCTGTAGTGACATCTACCGTGTGGACGAGGTACTCGCCCGGACGTTCAACATGCTGTTCAACAATCTCGCCAAATCTGGGTTCACGCTTGTCCTCATTTCCGTTGCCACGCCGCTCTTCGCTAGTCTGATCATACCTCTAGGTGCCATGTACATCTTCATCCAGAGATACTACTTGCGCACATCCCGAGAGCTGAAGAGACTGGACAGTGTGAGCCGCAGTCCGATCTATGCTCACTTCCAAGAATCCCTTGGCGGCATCTCGACCATTCGGGCATACCGTCAACAGGATAGATTCGAGCTCGAGAACGAGTGGCGGGTGGATGCGAATCTGCGCGCATACTTCCCCTCCATCAGCGCTAACCGTTGGTTAGCTGTTCGATTGGAGTTTATCGGTGGCATCGTTATTCTCGCAGCTGCTGGTTTATCTGTCATTGCCGTCAGCAACGGTGCCAAGCTCAGCGCAGGATGGGTGGGCCTTGCCATGTCTTACGCCTTCACGATTACCACCTCACTCAACTGGATTGTCCGCCAAACTGTCGAGGTGGAGACTAACATTGTCTCGGTCGAGCGTGTTCTCGAGTATGCTCGTCTTCCCAGCGAAGCCCCGGAGATTGTTCACCGCAACAGGCCGCCTGCAAGCTGGCCCGCTCGTGGCGAGGTTGAGTTCAACAACTACAGCGCGCGTTATCGTGAGGGCCTTGACCTGGTCCTCAAAAACATCAAGCTTGATATCAAGTCGCACGAGAAGATCGGCGTTGTTGGGCGGACGGGTGCTGGCAAGTCTTCGTTGACTTTGGCCTTGTTCCGTATCATTGAGGCCGACTCGGGCAACATTACCATTGACGGAATCAACACATCGAGCATTGGTTTGCTGGATCTGCGCCGTCGCCTGGCCATCATTCCACAAGATGCGGCTCTGTTTGAAGGCACGATTCGGGACAACCTTGACCCCGGTCATGTCCATGATGACACGGAACTCTGGAGCGTATTGGGTACGTATCGTGACTATCATTCCCCTTTTCCCTTGTCGGTGACCATCTGGTGTGTGTGTATAGTCATGGCCAACATGTACTGTACATTGTCATATCTGGCTCGGCACTGCTGCGGCACATTATGCTAACCGGACTCGCTCGGTACAGAACATGCTCGGCTAAAGGATCATGTCGCCTCTATGGAAGGTGGACTCGAGGCCAAGATCAATGAAGGAGGTAAGCTTAGAAATTTCCCTATCGCACAGCCCGTGTTCCCTTGTGTTCCCTTCCTGCGCGGTCGGCTTTTGTCGGCTTTCGAATGCGAGGTTCTTCGTCTTATCACACACACATATCACGGTTGGTGTGGGTCGATCCTCGTCGATGATCTCGGCGGTTGCAAAGTTGCGGCTGCTTGCCTTGCACGACCCAACTTCCCTTTGCCTCTTCCTCCCCGCCATCCTTGTGGTAACATGAGATCCTGTCGCATGGCGGTGATAGCTGCCTTGCAGACACACCTCGTGCTGTTCTTTTGTCTACTTGGCCGTGCAGCATGCCAGCCAGATGTTTGTCACCGGCGGCGGGAATGGCATGGGCTTTCTTTTCTTCCCCGCGTCATTCCGAAGCAAGCCCTCAAAACTGAGAGCTAGACATTTGCTTCTGCCATGATGCTATTTTTCTTACCGCTCGTGTTTTTTGTCTTTTCCATTCATCTACAATCCCTATCCACCACTCTGTCCCCTGCATGATCGACCCGCGCAAGTGTGCAACTTACAACGGAGATTCCGTGTACTCCCCACCGTTGTGATATCTTCACCTTCGTCATCAGTTGCAGTCACACAGTACCCATGTATTCGGCACGGTTCCTCTACATCTCATTCTTCACCGACTACACCCACTCATGAAGGCGCCTATCTATCTACCTTTACTTCTTGTCAATCTTCCCGTGGTTATTCGTTTCTGGTTATGCCGAGCGATACTCCGGTCATCATCCAATACACCACTGATCCATTCTATGTTCTTGGGCGAACCCCTGGTCACAATATCCGGTGATTCTATTTTGAGTCCTTGGTGGTAGCGGCGGATTACCCTATCAAGCATTTGGTGGCGTTGCATCTCCCAATACCACCAGGGTGTAGAATAGGATTGCGGTGTGTTTTAGTGCACCACACTAGTGGTCCCGGTTGTATGGATGAGTGCTGCATCGTTCTTTGTTCCACCCCCAAACAGTTGCATCAGATGTCGAGATTGGAACGCTACACATCAGGACATCGGACAGAGAGACTAATCAATTCGCACTCTTCCAGGATCCAACCTTTCCCAAGGTCAACGCCAGCTGGTCTCCTTGGCCCGGGCCATGCTTACCCCGTCCAACATCTTGGTTCTCGACGAGGCCACGGCGGCGGTCGACGTGCAAACGGACGCCCTGCTCCAGCAGACGCTGCGTAGCCCCCTGTTCGCCAACCGTACCATTATCACGGTCGCGCACCGTATCAACACTATCCTTGACAGTGACCGCGTCGTGGTGCTCGACAAGGGTGAGGTGGCCGAGTTCGACAACCCCAAAGAGCTGATCAAGAAGCGTGGGATCTTTTATGGACTGGTCAAGGAGGCTGGTCTGCTCCAGGATGTGGAGTGAAAAGCTTCTCCATCACAGCAGTCATTAGACTCTGACTCTTCGGCGTCGACGTCTTCATCGGCGTCGTTAAGGGCAGAAGGCGGCCGGTCGTTCTTTCCACTTCCGAACACATAGCAGCGTCGAGTCGGGAGGTGGAGTAAGAGCAGGAGTAGCACGCCGCAACGTGATGAGTGAATCAAGGTCAATATAAAAGTTTTCTGATTGTTACTTACGGTGTTGTGTTGGAAAGTATGGAATGATGAGCAGCAGTTGGAAATGGTGGTAACGAAAGCCAGGATGGATATGAAAGAGTTGGTGGTTGGAATGAAAAGATGGATGGGTGGATGGATGGATGGGACAAAAGAAAGCGAAAGTGTATATGTATGTATGTACAAACTGTATGAAATCATGAACAGTCGAACATGAAGCTTTTTAAGGTCTGTTACAAGTTAAATGCACGAACTGTATACGTTTTACCTATTGACAGGTTTTGAAATCACGATGACAGTTAAATATGAAGCTGCCAGGTGCATGCATTGTTCGAAGTATCTGCCATAGCAGGCAATATGGTCTTTGATGGTAAAGGTAGGTAGGCGCTATTCCAGCTTACAACACCACAGTTACCACAATAATACTGGTGATGGAACAGAGGAATGGTGTTATGGTGTTGTGGCAAAATCACCCACACCCACACACACATTAGCAAGCACCAATAACCTGTTATCACCTCACCCACCTTATCACATTCACATTCAGATTTACATTTCAGAGAGACCTCGGAGTTCGGATCATGGACGGACAGACAGTCTCTATGGTAACCCACAAACCCACAGATAGCCACCACGCTTCGGTCTCCATCGGCCCCCATCGGACTTGGGAACCTGAACTGAACTGGATTCCATCATTGATGGAACCTCTCCTGACGAACCGTCCGACGAACCGTCTGAAGAACCCCCCAGCGGAACCATACGAACCATAGGAACCATAGACTGCACGGGCGAGTCCAGTCATCGATGAAACCAGCGAAACAGAAACCTAGAGTCTACCATAATCCTTGTGTATCTTTGCAAGTCTCAGTCGCAGTCCCAGTCCCGGGACGGACTGGGCAGAGCGCCAGACAGAGCGGACGGGACGGGGAGTAGATAGGACAGATAGGGGTGGAAAGGGGAGATGGGTAGATAGAGGTGGAAAGTGTGGAAAGTGCGGAAAGGGTACTCTTAGACAGGAGAGACAAGAGAGACAAGAGAGACAAGAGAGACAAGAGAGACAAGAGAGACAAGAGAGACAAGAGAGACAAGAGAGACAAGAGAGACAAGAGAGACAAGAGAGACAAGAGAGACAAGAGAGAAACCTAAAGAGCCAAGAAATCTCGTGATCAGGATTACCTGCAGGCTGTGCCGTCTTCATCACCATCACATTCATCACAGTACCTCTACTCTAAATGGGTTCCCTACCTCTTACAGATTACACAGTCCAGTTCGGCAAAGTTTGAGTGGGAAGGGGGAAGGGGCACAGACGGACGGGCATGGGTATGGGTATGGATATGGAGATGGACGGCACAGTGAGTACGTTGTATATTGCATATTTCGGATTGTATATGTTGAGGGCGTAGGGATTATGGAGTCCGGTATTGGGGGGCTGGGGGTAGGGACTTGCGAGATGACGAGGGAGACCGAGCATTAATCCGTCATGATCAGAATCGGATAATTAAGGTAGGTACCTCTAGGCATAAGCAGAATATAGTAGACTGGACTGGAACGGGTTGGCAAAAGCTATGTATGGATATGGATATGGATATGGATTGAGTATGTATGAGGGCAGGATGATGATTATGGGGAGACCGATTATGGCCGGGGCAGATCGAATACCTATGGGGACAGCTATGGTGTATAAGGTGCGGAGGAAGCGGAGGGGGCGGAAGGGTGGAGGGGTTGTGGTTGTGGTTGTTGGTTCATGGTTGTACTGTACCTGCTTCGCTGCCCGGCTGTTGGTTCCAGATGCTCCACTCAGGCAGTGAGAAAGCTGTCTGAGAAATTGCAGTGGTGATTGCCCATCTGGGCCTGGTAAAATACACAGGGTAAGGAAAGTATATTTGATAGAGATGGTAGAGTGGGTAGAGGTGTTGAATGAACGCATGGATGGCGAAGGTGTAATAGGCACCGACAAATAGTTAGCTTGGACGGTGAGATCACGCACTATCGTGTTTTAATGCTCATAAATCGTAGGATTGTTGGTAATGTAGCTTGTGGATCGATGAATTGATAGTGCACAGAAAATGGATCATGAAGTTCAAACCGAACATCGTCAAGATAAGCCGGCCATTTATGACTAACGGCTTTGGGCAAACACAAGATAATTACGTAGGTGAGAATTTGGTAGGTTTTGAAGGTATATGTCATTTGTTCAAAGTTTGACTTTGATCTTCGATTCGAGGTGCGAGGTTCTAGAAATCGCTCAAGTCGGTGCTCGGCAATGTGACCATAAGAGTGGTGGTGGTGTTGTCGATTGTCGATGGGCAGACGTAGACGACAAATGACGATCATGAACTGGTCTGTGGTTCGGGCCAGTCTGGCTCGGAGCCCGCGAGTGTCCATTCGACGATTGATTTTCGTCTCCAGTAAGGTAATCTGGAGATCATGAGGTATCTGCTTACCATATGTATAGCTGAGTCGATATAATGGCGATTCGTTGGAGCTCACCGTCATCTCGATGGAGTGAAGCCAACACGTTGACTGCTAATTGATGACACGGCGATCAATCTCCAATCTCTTCCTAGATCGCATACGGCCAGTGAGGTTGGAAATGTTTGGCGGCTGGCCTGAATTATTGGATTAGTTCCAACACAACGTAAGGCAAGCACTAATTATCTTTCTCGTTAGAGTTTCTCTGCTGAGAGATGTTATGTCAGGGTGGAGGGCGCAGTTGTCTCCGCTCAAGCATGTCATTGGAGTGGGCTGATTGAGATTAGAAGAGCTGAGGCAAATGGGAATGCATGGAATCGTAAATAATATGGAGAGTTAAGGAAGCGGTGGGTTGTGGTAGCATTATATTTTATCCAAGCGATAGGTGAGTTGAGGTGTTGCTTTGTCATTATCGTCACTGTGATGTGATGGTGTGGTAAGACGAAGGGTACCTACTTGGGGCCGATGGGTTGGACACATGTTGACATGAGGATGTTGAAAAACCAGAGGGTTGACAAGCAATGAAAGGAAAAACAGAATGCCATGGGGAATTGGCTGCTATTCAGCTGTGGACAACGAATGTGTCGATGCTATCTTGTGCGACACAACTCGTGCCGGCCGTGGGTTCAGGTTGATTGTCAGGGGAGAATTCTCAACAAAGTCTGTATTTCGTTATTACCTTCACTCGATACGCTATACAACAAACGGTAAGCTCACGTGCTGACCACCTAAATCACCTTACTGTTTTCGACCAAACACGTAGATCTTGCGACCTTGACCCGGTAAACGACGGTGTAATGCAATTTATCGGGACAAGACAGTAGGTAAACCAAGCAGTAAGCACTCGTGCGGCACAGCACGGCACGCTCATGTACGGCTACGAATACTTATCGCCATGGAATACCTATATCGATCCTTTTGATACCATAAAACACGGTGTCGAAAGTATAACAAGTCCTGTTATAGGGTATTGCGGTGAAGTGTGAGGATTGAGGGAAACTTGGTGCTTTGAGATAACGCCTTGTGGAATGCTAATGTTTACACGGAACTCATCGAGAAAGATGCATATCGGGATTGAATGTCTTGTGTGACATACTGATACTGATGCCGACAGGTTCGGTCATCAAAAAGAGAGACAGCGTAGTCCGAGATTGAGGTGCCCCATTTGCTCATCAACCCAGACAACCGGGGGTCTTTCACAATGGTGCGTTACCAGCCAGACAGGACAAAGTAGGCATGGATGAGACAGCTGCTACTGGACGCCATCAGTGTTAAAAAGAAGAGGCGATATGAAGTGAGTGTCTCAGGGTAGGGAGCTGATGATGAGGGAGGAAAGCCAGTTACAATCCACGTCCAAGCAGAATTGAGGGCGAGAGTTGTACCAAAGCCACCCGCTGTCAAAAGATACCTTCTCCGGGTACCGAACCCGATGTTCAGCATTTTCTGACATAGGAACGCTCCCCATGGAGGTGATGAAAGAAAAGGTTCCAAGACGATAGCAAATGTGATAACTTCACAGCCCATGCATGAAACCTTGTGGAGTCTCAGGCTTTCCAGCTTGTTCCTTGATTCGCATTGAGAAAGATAAAGAGGAAGTGAAAGGAGGTGCGGGACATGATATTGATGGTCTATCGAAGCCATCAATCCTACCACGACCGGAGGAATCCCACCACAATTGATTGGGTTGAAAGTTCAGATTGGCCGACATATTATTATTATCATTTCATTGCCAATAAGAGAACGCATAACAAGACATTATTGCCAGAAGACTGTCCACCAACACATAGCGCTTACTGTGTGCGGTGAGAGAAGGGCCACGGTAGACCAAGCTCGTTCCGCCGCATCGCCGGCAGGGTACGGGAGAAAAGAAAAGCAATGAAATCAGGTTGAAGCGAGAGAAGGGGAAGCGGTGGATTGGCTGATGACCATTTATGGGACATCCTTCATGACATATGAATGTTCTGAGCAGGGAATGGCCATCGAGAAGTCCAGGCATGCGGTCAACCTGGAGAGAATATTGTTAGCGAAATGCTCTCCATTTCCGTGCTGACCACATGAGAATCCGGGGTTAAGACAGGGTTGAAGACCCGACTTGTAGCGCATCCGCGCTGTAGGTGAGCAGCCCTAGGTTACACACGCCCCTGGCAGACCCAGACATTCAAACATCCTTGCCGTCATGCCGATTCAAAACGGCTGCACAAGATTAGTGGCAGGCTCGCAGGGCTCACTATCAGTTGTTTACCAGTCAAGCAATAGGAAGGGAAGCCATGGTCCATCCACGGACTATTAATGCGTACCTTGAAGACTTGACCCAATAGGCGTCGTAAAGCTGTTACCATG